TCTATCTCCCTTCAACTAACTGGGTGTGGCTCCAGAGGAAAAGAGAGACTGAAATGCCCATCTGGAAATGAACCCCAGGCCAATTGGATGGAGGGAGGGGTTGAAGCCAGCTTCCCTCTCTCTGCTGCCAAACATGGAAGCAGTTGAGGCTCTTCACTCATAATGTCTTGGATCCTACCATAGAGGGTGCAAGGAGGGTGGAATAAGAGACATGCAAACCAGAGCCAAGGACCAGTCTCAGCAACATCTGGGGTGAAAAAGGTTGGGCTGGATATGCACCTCGGGGAATCAGCTTGCATGACTGGCCAGAATTAAATCCTCATGGGGCTGCTTGTTAGCCAGCAGTAAGTGGCTGATTGGTTATGTATGGCCCAGCATACATCCCTCTAGATTCAGAAATCCTGTTGGATACAGAAAGATTTTGAATCTTTTTTTATCTACAGATATCTTTGGAAGTCTAGGAAAGCCTTTACATTCCTTCTTGGTATAATTTTTGTTTTTTTTTCTTTTTTGAGACAAGGTCTTGCTCTGTTGCCACAGCTGGAGTGCTATGGCACAAACATAGTTCACTGAAGCTTCGACCTCCTGGGCTCAAGTGATCCTCCTATCTCAGCTTCCTGAATAGCTGGGACTACAGGCGTGTACCACCATGCCCAGCTGGAATAATGTTTTTAAATGCATAAAATAGGAGTACATAGAACTAAAAAGGAAACCAATTATATTGACAAAGTTATCAAAATATTTAAAAAACAAATGTGTGCTTTCATAAAGTGTCTTTTTTAATGTGTTAAATGACAAGATTTAGTGACAGTTCTGAAAGTGATCACAACTTTGAAGTAGTGATGAATGTAAATTGAGAAAGTTGAAACAGCTCCCACATGATATGAAAATACTAGTTTTTCATATTTTGACAAAGTCACAGAAACTGCTTATATAAAGTACTAGAGTTTTGTGTGTTTTTTCCCATAACTCTAGATGTGAATTCACATTTAGTATCATGGGAAATGTGAATTCACATTTAGAATTGTGGGAAATGCTAACGTTTAGTTAGAGATAAATAAAAAATAAAGTTGTAATATTTTTCTCCATCCAAGTCCACGGACCTCCTTCAACCCAGGTCAAGAACCTTTGGTAATTAAATCAGTGGTTCTCAACCAGGGGCGATTTTTGCCTCCCCCAGGAGAAACAACCAGAAATGTCTCTAGAACATTGCTAAATGTTCTAAACATTAGAGACTTAAAGACAACATTCCAGAGACTTAGGAGCACTGTTTGACATTATTTGCAAAAGCTGAACATATGCATAAATTTGGCAAGGTTCCAGAGACATTTCTGGTTGTTTCTCTTGGGGAAGAGGCATTGGCCAAAGATGCTGCTAAAGCACAGCGCATCTTCTCACAACGAAGACTCATCCAGCCCAAAATGTGAACTGTGCTAAGAGATCTGAGAACTCTTGGATCTAGAAAAACTACAGTCTGAACGAAGATTCTCTAAAGGGAGCTAAGACACTGCCCCTTGCCCAAACCACACACCCTGTCCTTAGGAAACCAAAAACACATCGCCCCTACTTGCACCGTAAATGTTGCTGGTGTCTAGAAGATGTTTTCATGGTAACACAATTCAAGGCAGACACAGGAAAGAGTGCAAGTACAACTGTAAAGGAACTGCAGTAAAGGAACTGCACACGTTTCTAAGGGAAAAGTGACTCACTGATAAAAAGACATTTTGTTTTCCTTTGAAAGTTTGGAACTTCATCAGGGAGTAATAAAGCATCTCCTTCCCCACTCTCATCCCAGGAAAAAAAAGGGAAGATTGTGATTGACAAGGTTTGTGCTTCTTACAACACCTAAGTTCCCCAGAATGAAAATAGTGTTTGAGACTTAGAGCCAACGAAGGCAATCTGGATAGCATTTTGTGACATCCAGAGTGGGTGGAGGGTGATGCTTAAAGATGAAACAGAAATGCACTGATCTGGAGGTGAGAGGCTGGCTTTCCTGAGACTGGCCACTAACATGAGGAGTGGTAACAGACTCCCTTCTTGGCCAAATTTTAGTTAACGTTTCTATGAACCCTCTTCTTACCTAGGCCTAATCTCAGGCCCATCTGTGGCCTGGCTTCAGCAAGAATTCTGCTAAGTCAGTTTAGCAAGAAATCCCCAACCCTTGCTATTTGATCAAATTCCTCATCCTTAATATCTTAGTCCTTGATCTGCCTTTAGTTAGAATCTTGTTAAACCAGTTTAGCAACAATCCCCCTACTATTTCTTATCCACTGACTCCAGCTGCCTTTGCTGTAGTCAGAGTTGAGTTCAGTCTCTCTCTACTATTCGCAATACTTTCAAATGAAGTCTCCCATACCATTCTAACAAGTGTCAAAATAATTTTGTTTTAAGGGTCAAGGCCCAAGCTCCACAGCACTGAGAATAAGAAAATGGTCCCAGGATGTGTGGGAGGCTGAGCACTAAGGGATATATATGGCTTCCTAGAGAGCAGTGGCTAGGCCCTGGGGGCTGAGTCCACAGTCAGCAGGGAGGAGTCCTATGACAGGAATCTCTGTGCTGGACAGAAGCAGAGGACCAGCGACAGCTCATCCTGAAAGGGAAAGAACAATAGAACTCACAGGGCCCAGGACGGTCCTCCCTGCACCCCCACCCCTGAGCTCTATTTTTCGATGCAGCACAGAAGCATCCAGGACTTTTGTCTCTCCTTGGGGAGTCAGGCAAAGCATCTCCCTACAAAAGGCATTTCTAACCAACTATAACAAGGGAGAGTTTCAGGACCATATTGAATTTGATTCAGAAAAACAATGTTGGCTGGGCACCGAGGCTCATGCTTGTAATCCCACTACTTTAGGAGGCCAAGGCAGGTGGATCACTTGAGGTCAGGAGTTTGAGACCAGCCTGGCAAACATGGCAAAACCCCGTCTCTACTAAAAATACAAAATTCACACATGACAATATTAATCTTAAATGTAAATGGGCTAAATGACCCAATTAAAAGGCACAGACTAGCAAATTGGATAAAGACTCGACCCATCAGTGCACTGTATTCAGGAGACCCATCTCACATGTAAAGACACACATAGGCTCAAAATAAAGGGATGGAGGAAGATTAACCAAGGAAATGGAAAGAAAAAAAAAGCAGGGGTTGCAATCTTACTGTCTGATAAAACAGACTTTAAACCAACAAAGATTAAAGGAGACAAACAAGGGCATTACATAATGGTAAAGGGATCAATGCAACAAGAAGAGCTGACTATCTTAAATAAATATACACCTACTATAGGAGCACCCAGATTCATAAAGCAAGTTCTTAGAGACCTACAAAAAGACTTAGACTCCCACACAATAATGGTGGGAGGCTTTAACACCCCACTGTCAATATTAGACAGACCAATGAGACAGAAAATTAACAAGGATATCCAGGACTTGAACTCAGCTGAAGACCAAGCAGACCTAATAGGCATCTACATAGCTCTTCACCCCAAATCAACAGAACATACATTCTTCTCAGCACTACATCATATTTATTCTAAAATAGACCACATAATTGGAAGTAAAACACTCCTCAGCAAATGCAAAATAATGAAAATCATAACAAACAGTCTCTCAGACCACTGTGCAATCAAATGAGAACTCAGGATTAAGAAACTCACTCAAAACCACACAACTACATGGAAAATTAACAACTTGCTCCTGAATGACTATTGGGTAAATCACAAAATTAAGGCAGAAATAAATAAGTTCTTTGAAATCAGTGAGAACAAAGGCACAGCATACCAGAATCTCTGGGACACAGCTAAAGCAGTGTTTAGAGAGAAATTTATAGTACTAAATGCCCACAGGATAAAGCAGGAAAGATCTAAACTTGACACCCTAACATCACAATTAAAAGAACTAGAGAAGCAAGAGCAAACAATTTCAAAATCTAGCAGAAGACAAGAAATAACTAAAATCATAGTTGAACTGAAGGAGATAGAGACACAAAAAAATCCTGCAAAAAAATCAGTGAATCCAGGAGCTGGTTTTTTGAAAAGATTAACAAAATAGATAGACCACTAGCCAGACTAATAAATAAGAAAAGAGAGATGAATCAAATAGACAAAATAAAAATGATAAAGGAGAGATCCCACAGAAATATAAACTACCATCACAGAATACTATTAACACCTCTATGCAAATAAACTAGAAAATCTAGAAGAAACAGATAAATTCCTGGACACATACACCCTCCCAAGACTAAACCAGAAAAAGTCGAATCCCTAGACCAATAACAAGTTCTGAAATTGAGGCAGTAATTAATAACCTACCAAACAAAAAAAGGCCAGGACCAGACAGATTCAGAGCCAAATTCTATCAAAGGTACAAAGAGGAGCTATTACCATTCCTTCTGAAACTATTCCAAACAATAAAAAAGAGGGACTCCTCCTTAACTCATTTTACAAGGCCAACATCATCCTGATACCAAAACCTGGCAGAGATACAATGAAAAAAGAAAATTTCAGGCCAGTATCCCTAAGGAACATCGATGTGAAAATCCTCAATAACATACTGGCAAACTGAATCAGGAGTACATTAAGAAGCTTATCCACTAGGCTGGAGTGCAGTGGCACAATCATGGCTCCCTTCAGCCTTGACCTCCTGGGCTCCTGTCTCAGCCTCTGAGTAGCTAGGACTACATGCATGCATTCATGCACCACTATACCCAGCTAATATGTGTATATATATATAGATATAGATATGTATACATATATATGTATATATATGTATATATGTGTGTATATATAGAGAGATATGTATACATATATATATACATATATATATATATCTCTTTTATACAGAGGAGATCTCACTTTGTTGCCCAGGCTGGTCTCGAACTGGGCTCAAGCAATTCTTCCACCTCAGCCTCCCAAAGTGCTGAGATTATAGGTATGAACCACCACACCCAGCCCAAACATTTCTGAGACCACCAGTTGAATTATCAAGTCTCTTCTTGTACCTGATTCTCATTAGAAATAATACACATTTACTGAGTGTCATTGATATATAAAGATACCATTCTTTGAGTGGGGGAAATACAATTTAAAAGTCACAACTACTGACAATCAACAACTTAAACTCTAATGAGGATCATAAACTTGTTCCCACAGAACCATGATACAGGTGGGAAAGTGTGCAAATAGTGGGCTCCTATTGTTAGACTTCATGGTAATTACACTTGTGCTTTCTCCAGTATGTTTCCTCCTATGGTACTCCTGAAGCACTCAGAACAATGAAGATCAATTTCTGGTCATTCCTACAAAGAGTGCAGGCAAAGTTTAGATTTAACTGTAATTGCTGGTTGTTTTGTCTCAGATTCAAAATCCTGGATTTCCGAAACAATGGAGCTTGATGTCACTTTCGGTTATCTTGCTTTTGTCTCCTCTTCTGGAAAGAACAAGCCTTCCTGAAAATTACAAAGGCACTTACTATGACAAAATAAGGCCTCTGAAACTGTCCAATCTCACACGCAAAAAGTATAAACTCACAGAATTTAAATCAGGTTCTGGATTTACCTGGAAATAGAATGTCACCAGGATCTGTTCAAAGATGAGCTTCGATTACGTTGTATAACAGTGTTTAAAACTCACATGCAAAAAAACTGCCTTCAGTATAATCAGACATGTGCAAAAACAATTTGATAAATAACATATAGGAAGATTATATTAACAAAAGACATTTCCAGATGCTAACATTCATATGGTTTACAAAGGTGCATTTTCTGCAAAGATCTATACAGCCCAAAAGCATGAAATTCTGCAAGGGAGGCCCCTTTATCCCATGAGTTGGCGGAATTTATTTTCATCTTCTATGCATGGATCACTGAAGTGATGAATGTCATTCATCTTCAAGAAGGAAACATTCTAAGCCTTGTGAAAGGTCAGATTTTCATCTACCCTTAAGGATTCCTGGGACTATGATCATGAGGAGCAGTCACTATGAAGACTGCTGTGAAGCCTTTTTCACTTCTTCACATTTGAGATGTGAAATATTTTACAGAAAAATAAGAGTGTACAAGTCCATCTCACACATAGAAAAACATAGATTGTCTGAATGTCTTAAAATTTTTTAAGTTTTAAAAGCCTGTGATCTTTGCATTGTTTTCAAGAGTCAGCAACTCTAAGGGAAAATATTCACCATAAGTGTCACCATATGGTGAAGATATTCACAATAAGTGACAGTTTTGCAAGATGATTCTTTGGGTTGGCATTCCATTTCAGGTCACCAGGTTTCTGCAATCTCTGTGAGTGCCCGCAGCAGGTCGGCAAATGTAGGGCGGCCTTTGGGTTTCTGGAAAAGGGAGATGTGGGTGGTTAGATCAGCTTAACCCACTTATGCCAAGTGTTCCATTTTTGGAACGCTAAGCATGTGGGAGTTATTTATATCCTACTGCTCAAGGTCATCACCAAGGTCTGATTTTTCACTCACGCAAAAAATTCAAAAAATTGCATCCTGCAGCATAAATGGGTCAAGGATCAGTCAGAGACCAGCTCTGGAACTTGCTGGCAGAGACCTGAATCCAGGTTGGCTCTCCCCAAAAAGGAAGAGAAAGTTATCTTGAGTGACATACCACAGCATGATTGGCAGTTGAGTGAGGCGTGAGTATGAAAATGTTAGCGAATGCTGCAAAAATAAAATGGCTGGACCTGCAAACACTAGCCACATGTGGCTATTTAAATTTAAATTCCCTAAGATTACATAAATGTTTAAATTCAGTTCTTCAGTCATGCTAGCCACTTTTCAAGTACCCAGTAGCCAGAAGTGGCTGCCATATTGGACCACATGAATGCAGAATGTTTTCAGCATTGCAGAAAGTTCTCTAGGACACCCCCACCCTAGAGATCTATTTGGATGACTTGACATGTGTGAGGTAAGGAAAGGTCTGGGAGAAGGGACATTTAAAGCACCAAGCTCCCAAGCTCAGCTTGAGGTATCCATGATACCTGAGCCCCTACAGAAAGGAGGATTTCAGTCAGAAAGCAAAAGGCATGTTTGCATGAAGGACCCTGAAGATCCTGGGGCACAGGCTGTGTCGTCTTTAGTCTCCGACAACAGAAACGTGAGTGCGGAAGTCCCTCTCAGCCATAGAAAATGATTGCTGCATATTCTTAACATTTTTAAAAGTTTTAAAAGCCTGTGTTCTTTGCACAGTTTTCAAGAGTCAGCAATTCTAAACGAAGATATTCAGCACAAGTGACCCCACACCCCTGGCTATGGAGCCAGGGATTGGAGCATTTTTCCTATTTCACCTAGGGGTGTCGTTTGGCACTGATTCCATGAGAAAAAGAGATGGAATTGTCAGTGTCTTTGAAAACCATGGGAAACAGAGCTACTCATAGTAGCCACATTTTCACAGGTGTCACTAACAGCAGTGTCAGCGGAAAGACACCCCTCTCCATGGCTTATAAACAGAGAGCGTCGATAAAATAGAGCAGGAGATGGCACAAGTGCATTTGAGAGTCCTCATTCAGACTCTGGGAATAAATTGTTGAGCTCTCTGAGGAGCCTGAGTTTCTGTGCATACAGCTCTGAAATGTGTCTTTCAATGATAATATAATCACATGTGACTCTAATCCCCTAAGCAAGCGGGGTAAAGTTTTAGGCAAAATCAACTTTTGCACCCAGCATAATGGCTCACGTCTGTAATCCCAGCACTTTGGGAGGCCAACGTGGGAGGACTGCTTGAAGCCAGAAGTTTGAGACCAGCCTGGGCAACAAAGTGAGACCCCATCTCTACAAAACATTTTAAAAAGTTAGCTGGTCATGCCTGTCGTCCCAGCTATTCAGAAGGCTGGGGTGGGTGGATCTCTTGAGCCTAGGAGATCAAGGCTGCAGTGAGCTGTGATCACACGACTGCACTCCAGTCTGGGCAACAGAGGAAGACTGTCTCAAAAATAAATCAACGTTTTCAAACAAAAAAATCAACACAACCACATCATTGTTTTAATCAATGTTCTGACTGCAATTTGAGACTAACGTTGTTTACGTGGGCCTTCTGACAGCACCCTACTTATCACTTCCCTTCCCCATTCTCTGTCTCAACTCCACAGATATCCAACCTCTCAATAAGTATTATATTACACACACACGTACATGTGTATTGTTTCGTACACAACATATACTTCTGAGCTACTTATACTGTGAGGGCAAAGATACTCCTAAAACAGCTATTTCTTACTACTTACTGAACATTTTTCTTAGAGCTTGCTGAACATTTTTCTACGTCTTTTAAGATTCCTTGTAGAGCAGTTAATATATGTAAAATATTTTTATACATTGAGGCTCTCTATAAACATAATGCTTCTTGGACTATGAATAACCACATCACTCTTGAAATATTTAATATTCCAGTGTTTGTGGATTGATAACCAAGTGCTTTATTTTTTCACCCAGGAGGAAACGTCTCATCAAGCTGTAATTTTTCTAGGCTGACACTGTGATCTGGAAAGAGAGCAAAGCTCTCAAAATCACAGGGAAGTTCGCTGAGGAGGGCAGAGGTGTGTTGAGTCAGTGCCCAGAAGTGGAACAGAAGCCCCTCTGGCTTTATCTTTAAGCTTGGCATTTCAACAAATAGGAAAACTAAGTTCTGGAGCGATTTCTTCCTGACTGGAACTTCCTGATGCACCTTCTGCCTCCATTCCTATTCTAGTTTAATCTCCAGCGGGATTCCTGAGTGCCAGAAAAGACATGAAACCCATCACCATTAGTGTTGAAAAAGCAAGACAAAAGAAAGTTGAGTGAAGTTAATGGAAAGACTATCTTTCTTTTTCAAAGTGGAAGTTTCTGGTTCTGCCCTTTAAGTTTCCACCATTAATTCTTTTTTTTTTTTTTTTTTTTTTTTTTTTTTTTGAGATGGAGTCTCATTCTGTCACCCAGGCTGGAGTGCACAATCTCGGCTCACTGCAGACTCTGCCTCCCGGATTCAAGCGATTCTCCTACTTCAGCCTCCCAAGTAGCTGGAATTACAGGCATGCGCCACCATGCCTGAATAATTTTTGTATTTTTAGTAGGAACAGGGTTTCATCATGCTGGCCAGGCTGGTCCCAAACTCTTGAACTCAAGTAACCTGCCTGCCTCAGCCTCCCAAAGTGCTGGGATTACAGGCATGCACCACAACGCCTGGCTAATTTTTGTATTTTTAGTAGAGATAGAATTTCACCATGTTGGCCAGACTGGTCTCAAACTCTTGATCTCAGGTGATCTACCCACATCAGTTTCACAAAATGCTGGGATTACAGGCATGAGCCTCTGTGCCCAGCCCATTAATTCTTAAAGCTAATAAAACATCTAATCAGTGAGGCTTAAGTCACCAAGAGTTTCTGCAAGAACTAATCTCAAACAGATTAGACTCAGAAAATGCACTGAATTTCTCAGAACGCCATTGTTCAAAACAAAATATATTCATGACTTTGTCGTGAGAGTTTCAGATAGAAAGAGTACGTCACACTCTCAGGATCCTGACCAAGACACAGATGCCTTTTCCTGCCATGATAGAGTCCTGGAGTAATGCTTGTGATAATCAGGTCTGCTCTCAGATGCTGGAACTGCCAACCTTCGCAGGAAAGAAAGTGACACGTACCTCATGCCAGCAGCTGTACATGACTTCGTATATGGACATTGGGGCCAGGTGAGGGCGATACAGCCTGAAGCCTTCAGAAATAGCCTCCACAACTTGCAAATTTGACTTATTTTCAAAAGGCATTTTTCCTTCTGTAAAAACTTCCCACATTAAAACTCCTGCAAACAAAAATAAATGAAAACAAGGGGTTAGAGAGAAATGATTGCTTGGGAACTGAAAGAACAATTCCAAACGACAAGACATTATTTTTCTGCTCCAGATTTTAGGATATAACCATCCTGAATAACACCAGTTCTATCAAGAAAGCAAATCATGTGCACCACAATTTTCAAAGAGGCCTGTAAACTGACAATAATCTCAGTTAAAACAATGCCTTTCCTTTTCCATGGGTTTTGATTGCCTCCCTTATCAGAAGAAAATGCCAGTTGAATTTTTATTTCTTTTTTTTTTTTTTTTTTTTTGGAGATAGAGTCTCATTCTGTTGCCCAGGCTGGAGTGCAGTGCTGCAATCTCGGCTCACTGCAACCTCCGCCTCCTGGGTTCAAGCAATTCCCCTGCCTCAGCCTCCCAAGTAGCTGGGATCACAGGTACCCACCACCACACCCAGCTAATTTTTGTATTTTTAGTATAGATGGGGTTTCACCATGTTGGCCAGACTGGTCTTAAACTCCTGACCTCAGGTGATCCACCTGCCTCAGCCTCCCAAAATGCTGTGATTACAGCCATGAGCCACCATGCCTGGCCTAGCATTTTCATTTCTAAGTAGCACTTATGTCCCTGCACCCTGAAATCAATGAACTTTTCTGCCATTACATAGAAACTGACAGAATTATGTGAGCCTCTGCTGCCACTTAGCCAAGAGTTTCAGTCAACAAGTAGCTTTGTCTTCTTTCTGCTAAAAGATTAGACTGATGGACAGGGCCCCAGAGTTATCTAGTAGGGGTTCTGTACATAAGTAAGTATCCAATAATCACTGATTGATTAGTGAAACTCCTGAAAGAACTCCCAATTTAGTTCATTTAATTATTCACTTATTCTACAAATATTTACTAGACATCGTTGAGAGGCCAGGCCTCTGCTAGGGCCAGGAGATTTTATAAGTGTGAGATCAATCCATGTGTTTAAGGAGCTCACTGATCGGTGAGGGAGACAAGTAGGTAAAATTCAGGGAGTTCTAATTGTTCTGCAATCACTCAATGAGGTCCTTACTGTTCTTCATTGGTCTCTAAGATACGGTCTCACAACCTAACTGCTTTTCAGTAGAGCTTCAAATGTCACCTGCTGAGACTATCCTATGTCCATGGCAAGATAATGAAATTAATGACACAACCTTAACCTTATTGTATTTTTTTTTAACTTATGTTTTAATTTGTTTTTTGAGTCAAGGTCTTGCTCTGTCACCCAGGCTGGAATGCAGTGGCACCATCCTGGCTCACTATAACCTCAAACTCCTGGGCTCAAGCAATCCTCCTGCCTCAGCCTCCCAAGGAACTGGGGCTACAGGTACATGCCACCACATCTGCCTAATTTTTTTTTTTGTAAAGATAGAGTCTTGCTACATTGCCCAGGCTAGTCTTGAACTTCTGGTCTCACATGATCCTCCCACCTCAGCCTCCCAAAGTTCTGGGATTGCAGGCCTGAGCCACTGTGCCCAGTTTTAACCTTATTGTATTGTAGACGATAAAACTGACACCCTTCTGAGTACCCAGAACCCACAAGCCTTCAGGCAGGTCTGCGTGAAAGAGGATAGATTTTTGCATATTTATCACCATTTTTTGAAAATCAACCCCGAAACTCCATTGCACATGGGTCTATGGTGTCTCTTTCTCAATGAAGAACAGTATCCAATATGAACATCAATTCACAGATTCCAAGGAAACCTATGTCTAAATTCCACAAAATTTAAAGATAATGAAGTAAATGAGAGGCGACCATTTTTTAAACTCAGGTTTTAAGTTCAGGTTAACAATGGAACAATTGGAAAACAGTCAAGCTGCTTCACAGTTTAGACAATGGAGTTCATTAATTACACTCTAAACTCAACAGTGTCATAAGATCATTTTTCCTTCGGTCTCTACGGTGTGGAAAACTTGTCTGAGTTTGTTTTCTTTATCAGAAGACCCTTCGTTACGGTTTTACAGTGAGTGCCCATTGAGGAAGGAAAAGATCCCAAAGGCAGACTTAATATAAGAAGGTATGTAACACCAGTTCCCAGAGATAGTTGGGATGTGGTTAGAATACATAGAAGGAAGCACAATTACAAGAAGACTTAAAAAATGCTACATGAATTAGGAAATCAAAGTTAAAAATAATGTATTGCCAATTTTATTAAGTCAAGCTCCAGAAAATAAACATCGGATGCACTCACCAAATGACCAGACATCAGATTTACTGCTGTACTTATTGAAAAGAAAAACCTCAGGAGGGGACCACTTGATAGGGAACTTGGCTCCAAAAGAACTGATATACTCATCATCCAAAACGTACCTACAGTTATCAGATTCAAAACACATTGTGTTAATTACCTCCAAGCTCTATTTACTTCAGATCCCTTTAGTCAACTTTGAGTTGCTAAAAGAGAAAGTATTTTACCCCAGAAAGGTTGTAGACTCCTTCTTGTTAGTAGAGTGTGAAAGTATCCCTAATATGTTTCCTCCTCAAACTAAGTCTCAATTGTGCTTTTTTTTAATGTGGATCTCCAAAGGTCATAACCCTGCTTCAGTTCAAAACATGGCTCACTGTAAAGAAGCGTGCTAAATGCTGTAACAACCAAGGTTATAAAAAAGAAATAAAAGACCACTCTTCTTGGGGGGGTGGGGAAAAAAAGACCACTCTTCTTAAAATGGAAATGAATGATTCAAAGTTGGATACCAAATTTCCTTCCATGTACATGTTTTTTTGTGAGGCATAGAGAAGGGGGGAAAGTACAAGTATATGAACATAATGCTTCTGATGTGACAAATCTCTAATGCATTAGAATGGCCCTATGTGGAAAAAAAAATCAAGAACAACCACTGTCTCCTTAAAAAAATAACGAACAAGTTGAACCCTCTCTCTTTTCTGAGAATTGTACATAGGGATGTCCAAACGTGAGAATCTGCAGAGAAGACACAAAAACGAACTTACGCTTGTTTCCCCTTAAATATACAATATAGTGTTTTCACATTTATTAGTGCTGCCCCTGCTCTCCCACTTTCCTTTGTTTACATACTCTACCTCCCTCCACCTATCAGCCTTTTACTGAGTCAGAGGGCATGCTACTTAGGTAAAGAGTGAATAACAGAAAACAAAGGGGGAAAAGCCATTCTCTATAGATTTTGAGTTTTTCAAGTCTAGGCTCTTCAGAGAAGAAAGACTGAGTTATCAACAAAATCTTTTGGAAAATGAACCACGAACAGGAGTGAGATCTCACCACCACCACCACCATTACCACCACTATCCAGAAAAAGATCCCTTGAGCCAGAGGAATGGGGGAAATAGAAGGGAAAGGAAAGGGGTGCTAGACATTAGTAGGTCGCTGAGTTAGGGTCCTGTATCTTGTACTCTGTAAGGGCTGCCCAACCCACATAGCAGGAAAAGAAGCTCCTACTCCCACATTAGATTGGTGGGATTTAAAAGTGAAACAGAATCTGTGCTCTTTTTCCCAGGTAAAGCCCTAGGAAAGGCAGAAAGATGCCAGTGAACAAATGGCTGTGGATGTGCCTAGGTAAATGAGATCTGAGATCACACCAATCATAAAGAATACCAGCCAGGCGAGATTGCTCACACCTGTAATCACAGCACTTTGGGATGCCGAGGTGGGTGGATCATTTGAGGTCAGGAGTTCAAGACCAGCCTGGTCAACATGATGAAACCCCATCTCTACCAAAAATAAAAGGTTAGCTGGGTGTGGTGGCATGTGCCTGTAGTTCCAGCTACTCAGGAGGCTGAGGCAGGAGGACAGCTTGAGCCTGGGAAGTTGAGGTTGCAGTGAGCCAAGATAGCACCACTACACTCTAGCCTGGGCAACAGAGCAAGACTCCACAAAAAAAAAAAAAGAACACCAATTCTGAAGGAATCTGCAGAAAAAAAAAAAAAAAAAAAAAAACAGTGTGGGTTAGCAGCTACCTGTTTGAATGGCTAGCCAAAGACAGGACCAGAGGATGGTAGCTGCAAGAATGCCATGCACACAGATAACAAAAGGCCCAGTAAGCCACCTCCCTACCAGTACTATAGCCCCATGAGACAAGAATTTGGACTTTGAAGCTCAGGGAAGCCAGGGAGAAACCCCAAATTCACTGGGATTATATTTCTAGCACCACCCCCAAAAAAGGATGCTCAAAATTTAAACTACATTGAGTTGTAGAAAAATGTGGTTAAATTTTCACACTCATAAACTGTAAACTTAAAGTCAACTACTAACTTAATAATAGAAATGTTTGGTGAGAACATAGAAAAATCAGAGCTGAACAAATACATTTATTTCTTATATATATATATTTCTAATATATATATTTTTTCTGATATATTTTTTTTCTGACATATATATGTATATACATATATATATATATATATCAGAAAAGCATTTTTTCTTCACCTTTCTCAGTGGACTGAGAAATTTCTTTTTTAATTTTAAGATGTACCATAGTTTTGTTAAAAGATCAGAAGAAGAGCCCACAGTAAATGTTTCCCTCACAGCTAAAATTGGTATATGTCCTAAAATTCAAAGTGGATCAGTAGGCCATACAACCAGGCCTATAACCTAGGAAGACAAAAACAGCCAGCAGCATCTTTAGTTCATCAGTACACAAATGTAAGATTCCCTCTTATGAGTAAAGAAACAAACAAAATACATATATATACATAGCATGTACCTCGTCATTCCAAAGTCCGAAATTTTTACTACGCATGTTGAACTGACCAAACAATTTCTTGCCGCCTATGAAAAGAAGAAAAGAATCCAAGTTTGAATACAAGTTTTTCTTTCAAGAGTCTTTCCTCTCCTCTTCTGTAGCTTATTTGGGCCCCACACCACTTCTCTGTGTGGATAGCCAAGTGATTTTTATGGTGATACTCATCAGTGGTATAGATTCAATAGTTTGTCTTCACTTTTTTTTTTTTTTTTTTTTTTTTAACGGAGTTTCGCTCTTGTTACCCAGGCTGGAGTGCAATGGCGCGATCTCAGCTCACCGCAACCTCAGCCTCCTGGGTTCAGGCAATTCTCCTGCCTCAACCTCCTGAGTAGCTGGGATTACAGGCACGCACCACCATGCCCAGCTAATTTTTTGTATTTTTAGTAGAGACGGGGTTTCACCATGTTGACCAGGATGGTCTTGATCTCTTGACCTCGTGATCCACCCGCCTCGGCCTCCCAAAGTGCTGGGATTACAGGTTTGAGCCACCGCGCCCGGCCACTTTTTTTTTTTTTTACACAGGATCTGGCTCTGTCACTCAGGCTGGAGTGCAATGGCACGATGTTGGCTCACTGCAACCTTCCCCTTCTGGGGTCAAACCATCCTCCCACCTTGGCCTCTCAAGTAGCTGGTACTACAGGTACATGCCAACATGCCCAGCTAATTTTTGTATTTTTAGCAGAGATGGGGTTTCACCATGTCATGCAGCCTGGTCTCATAGGCTCAAACAATCTGCCTGCCTTGGCTTCCCAAAGTGCTGGGAATACAGGCATAAGCCACCATGCCCAGCCTGCCTTCACATTATTAATGATGATTAATTCAATCTAAAAGATGATATAACTATGAATCTCGGCATAGAAAATTAGTGTAATTTTTTAACTTATCTATAGGAAAGCCCAAAATACAAAACAGGTAAGGCATAGTCATTTTATATCTTTGGGATCTCTACCACATAATCAAAATTATATTTTAAAACATATTTCACACAAGATAACTATTTACAGTGATAATTTCATATTTCTTAAAATTATCACAATGAACTAAATATAATGCTATGTAGAAACAATATATTTGATGCCAAAACAATTCATTGTCAGAAACTTAATCAAGAAAATCATTGATTTGATTATTTAGACTCATGTAGTAAACTAGATAAACTATTTGATAGAATTTTCCTCTTTTCAGCTAATTTCTGGTTCAATTAGTCAAGCAACAAAAGCAAAAAACTTGAAATAATAAATCACAAGGAACCATTTTAGAAGATGTAGGAAGTCCTAGCAATGGCCAAACCACAACAATCGTTGACAGGGGAAGGACTCATTGTTCACTGATATATTATAAGTAGCATATAGGTAGATGAAATAGAACACAAAAGAAAATGAGCAATCAAGGAAAAAAAAAAAAAAACAGGGATAATAGGACCTCTGAGAAGCCATTAAGAGCAAATAAAATGACCAGAACTGTCACCCAGTTGTTATCTAAAAAGACAAACCTGCAAAGACTAGGAAAGTGAGGCAGGTAAAGTTGATACCATATCCATCCATTCAAAAATTTGCCCATTGCTCCTAGGTGCTGGATACTGGGGAATGTTCCATGAGAAATTTTTTTTAAAACGATCTATCGCTGTAGAAGCAATACTTAGCATTGCTGAGCTCTTCTACATGCTAGACACTGTTTATTAATTCATGTAATTCTCCCAACAAACCCATATGATGAAGGTGCTATAATTAATACCACTTTACTGGTTAACTAGCTTGCCCAAGGTCACACAGATAGGAGGAAACAGAGATAATATTTCAAGCCAGGTAGCCTGGCTCCGGTGCAGTAGTTCTCAACCTCAACTTCACATGGGGCTCATCAGGGGAATTTTCAAGTGATATTGATGCCTGGGTTTCAGCCACAGAGATTCCGATTTAATTGGTCTGGGGTATGTATGGCCTAGCTACTGCGATTTTTCTAAAAGCTTCCAAGTAATTCTAATGCACATCAAAGTTTGAAGTTTGAGAACCTCTGTTTGCAACCTGTGTTCTTAATCACTGAGTGGCATCTCAACTATCTAGGCCTTGATCTCAAAGACTCTGAGTCTAATAAGATAGACTCTAGCATTTGTATAAACGATGTAAATAATTAACTATTTGATGAAGCAGTAAGTAGCAAATTCCCTGAGTGTTCTAAGTCATGGGCAGGATAACTATACTTCCCAAGGTGTGCTGGGGCCAATGTGACTATGCTCCCTTTTTCTCCCCAGAATACTCCAGGCTGGACAGTGAGTAATCTGATCACTCCGGTCACGGGTGATGGAAGCATAGGATTACTTCCAGGGGGTGATATCAGGGATTTCTCATAGACTTCTCCAATTCTCATTTGAGTTAATTTTTAGATTTAGAAATGAAACATGGAAGGACATAAGGATATCAAGGAAAATAATAGGAATATCATGAATAAATGTGGAATGGACAGAAAGTGTTACTCAAGGGTAGGTAGCAATGCAGAGAAGCAGTGCTATTAGCATATGGTTTGGGGCAAGACAATCATTTATTTAAACAGGAAATGTTCTGAGCATTACAGAAAAAAATAATTCAGCATTCTTAGTTTCTTCAATAATGCTGGTAATGCTCTTGCAATCCTGTTAGGGCCAAACTACCTCTATATCAGGGGCAGTTATGCTCCTAGGTGACATTCCTTAGATAAAGTTGGAGATTAAAACCAGAACTTGTTCTTCACTGTTGTATCACCAGTGCTTAGCAGAATGCTTGGCACATACTAGGCACTCAATATATGTTTGAATATGGGTTAAAAGGGAAAAAGGAGGAAGGAAAGAAAGAAGAAGGAAGAGAAGGAATAAGGGAGAGAGGAAAGGAAAGGAAATCAGTTTTAGTCACATAATAGGGTAGTTGGTTAATTAGTTCAAGGCATATTTAGAATATGGCTAAAGAAATCTTGGCTAAGAAATCATCTTTGCAAAATTATGACTGAGAACCTGACTGACTCCATCCTGCTTCTAACCTCCAAGCTGTCCTTGCTTATTCCTGGGCATAGGCTAAATTAATTTTGGGAGGAATTTATACAGTTTAAAACAAAGATGATAACAGCCCTTTCCCAAAAAAAACAAACCTCCCTCTTGCCTGGGGATGAGACTTCCTTTGCAGGATTAGCAAATTAGGCACAATGTTAGAAATTATGGTTTAGGAGTCAGGCATCTGGAGGCTACAAGATTCTTACTCTCCTTAAACTGCTCCTAAGATCAGTGCTTGAGATATTTTGCAGATCTTGCACTTGATGGATCAACTAGCACCACCCAGGTCAATTAACTGGCTCATCTGATCTTCTGGACCCCACCCAGGAACTGACTCAGCACAAGGAAAGATTGACAGATTCAACTTCCAATTGTTTCATCTCCTACCTAACCAATCAGCTCTCCTGGCTCACCAGTTTACCCCATCCACCAAGTTGTCCTTAAAAACTCTGATCCCTGTATGCTCGGGGAGACTGATTTGAGTAATAATCAAACTCTGTTCTCCTGCACAGCCAGTTCTGTGTGAATTACTCTTTCTCTATTGAAACTCCCCTGTCTTGTTAAATTGGCTCTGACTAGGCAGCAGGCAAGGTGAACCCATTGAGGCTTTACAGCTACAGCATCAATGGGCAATTACAAACAATTAAAAACAAAGTTACAACAAATTTCATGAAGGGTAAATGTTTAAAAATTAAGTCAAGGATACATTATTCAAAGTATTGAAAGTAATTGTCACATCCTTCTGAATATAGGTATGATACATTTAAAAAAATGAATTTACACCATACTTACCAAATCCCTATGAATATAGCCGTTTCTCTCCAAATATTCCATTCCTTCACATATATCCTCACATACACTCAGTAGCATTTCCTTCCTAAGCTTTCCTTTTCTCTCCCTGAGATAGTTAAGCAGGCAGCCATTTTCCATGAACTCTGTCACAATGTAAAGGGGCTTCCGCTGTATACAGACCCCATAAAGTTGCACTAGCTTTGAATGAGATAATGTCCTGGTGAAGAAAAACATACCAGTGAGCAGAACTGTGTTTGCATTTTAAAGTGTCTGGACACAACTGGTAATATTTACCATCTATTTATCACTCAAGTTAAAAATCAACCCAAACACAGAGAAAGTATTGCAGTTTCCTTGCCACTGAATGCACTGAGAATGTGGGGTCAAGAGTTTAAACGGTAATGCCAAATGTAGTGTGGAGACAGAATATTACATGTCCCATATTGTATGTGTCGGCATTTTATTTTTCTCCTCTTCATTTTATAATCCCTTTGTTTCTTCATCACTGTTTCTCCTTGCTTGGTCAAGCAGATTTCCTTTTCTGTTCCTTGAATTCCAACTTTCCTACCTGCAGCTGTTCAGATGAAAAATTCTGGACAGACAGGAGGGAGGAAAGAGTGACTAAAAAAGAAAACAAAAATTAAATTCTAAAGCATGAAGTTCTTTAAAAGGAAATTTCTAGATAAAGTTGGAAACTAAAAAACATTTACCAACATGAAAACTTGCAGTGTAGTTAGTAATCACACACACGTGCACACACACACACACACACACACACACACACAAGTCCTTGAATGTTGCCTATTAAAACATACCCAGAAGTTTTTAGTTATCTAGACTTCAAATGTTTATTGTTATTTTGTGTGTGTATGTGTGTGTGTGTGTGTGTGTGTGTGTGTGTGGAAAATGTATTAATCTCTAAAAGCCTTTAATGCCAACTAGTCATCGTGGAAAATAAGATTCAAATTAATGCTTATAATTTTAGAAGATGTATAATATACCAGTTCTCTGTGTCAAAAGTACCTTGAAAAGTTATCACTTCTTTTTATTCTTTTCATTCACAAGGATAAAAAAAAAATCAGTGACTTGGGAAGACTGTGTACCTTAACATAATGTATATGAATGATTATTGACTCATTACCGTAAAATTAGCTTGTGAAAACACTCCAGTTAATGGGGAAAAGAGGCATTCAGAGAACTTAACATTATCTTAATTTGGAGATACATATTATATATATTTTGTCTGATTCAGCTTTTGAATTCATAAAGTGTACTTTCAGTTAAGGGGTGCAGTTTACATGTGCATAGAGTAATTGCAGAAAAGCAAGTCTTGGGATAAAATGTTAATTTACCACAGGAAATGCATCAAGTTGATACCTACAGAGAAGCATTTGAGAATTGAAATATTACTGCATTTGCTTGTCAAGATTGCTGCTAAAAATCTAACAGAAATAAGGTAAACCTTTGTCAGAAATCAGGGAAAAACAAATTCTCGTATGTGATTCAGTCTAACAAGACAAATACTTCTCACAAGCATAGAAAGATGCAAATGGAAAAATCTACCTTCTTGTTTGTTATAACTTTAGGACTTCTTAATACATGTTATTTCTCAGTTTAGACAAGTATGTAGGAATTTATCATAGGGCAAACACACATTTAAATTTGTTATTTAAATATTTTTGGACACTTTGCAGGCTTCTCCATTTCTCCTGTTCTAATTATTCTCTTTCCCTAAGTAATCGCATTAAGTTTCAGAGTTTTAAATATCATCTCTGGTGATCACTCTCAAGTTAATACCTTCCACTCTGACCTTTTTCCTGAACCCCTGATTCATATATTTACCTTACCACTTGATCATACTTGGTGTCTAATAAATAACAGGCTTCTCAAATCTAACATGTCCAAAGCAGAATCCTTGATTTTCCCCCTAAACCTGTTTGATCTTACCCCATCTTTGTAAATGGTGCCAGCCTTCACCTAATATAATAAGGTACACCAAAATCTTAGAGTCATCTTTGTTCCTCTGGTTTCTTCCCACTACCTGCTGTATTTAATTTATCAGCAAGTCTTAATGACTTTATCTCAAAAATGTATTCTGAAACAATTCTCTTTCCATCTCTTGCCCTCCGACATATCTTAGTTTTCCAATAATGTGTTGATAATTATGTTCATTAAGATCATGGTTTTTGTGCCCAGACAGTTCACAGTTTTGATTTCAGTTAGAGGCTCTAACAATGTTTTGTTGTAGGACTACAGGCAAATTACATAATGCAAACCAAAAATAAAATTCTAAGCCCCCAACCATCTCAATGGACTCTTCCTCTTAGCCATGGGTGTTCCAAAGTTAAGCTGTAAAACTACTTCAGGCCATGATGGGAAGAGGGAGTTGGACAGGCCACACAACCATTAACATCAACACAGACATTGAGACTGATAGAACAGACTCCTTAAGTCTAATAAGAAACATTTACAATCTATTTTCTCTGAAGCCTTCTACCTGGAAGTTTCATCTTCCTAATAAACATAGACCATCTGTGTTGCTCTCCACAGCTCTTTATAGTAACCTGGACATTCCTTTCCATTGATTCCAGTCTTCTGGATAATAACCAACTGTCAATCAGAAAAATCTTTGAATCTGCCTATGACATGGAAGACCCCACTGGTATAGACCAGAGACAGGGAAATACAGGGTAGAAGGGGTAGTTCCCCAGGAAAGACCGCTCCCTCAAGCCTAGATACTGATGGCCCTAAGTGAGAACAGGCATTCCTGTTTTTGTGTCCCAAAAGTTGCTTTTTGACCCACCACACCCACTATCCTGTACCCATATAAACTCCAGACTCCAGAAGCAGACAAGGAGATGAACAGACAACTGGCAGAACAGAACAGCAAAGGAGAGAAGAGAAGGAACATTGGGAGGACTTTGGCTGGGGACAGTCAGAGAATCAGCTGTTGGACAGCCAAACTCCAGGGGCAGGTCATCTTCCCACTCATTCCCTGTTGAGCTTTCCATCCATCCCACTGAGAGCCACCTTCAACACTTAATAAAACCCCATATTCATCCTTCAAGTCTGTGTGTGACCCGATCTTCCAGGACAATGGACAAATGCTTGGGATACAGAAAGCTGTCACACTGGCCCCCTGCCCTTGCAAAAAGGCAGAGAGTCCACTGAGTTAGTTAACCCTTAAACCATCTGTGAACCACAAGTCTAAAAGAGCACACTACAACACGGGCCCACTTGGGCTTTGAGGGTTGCAAACACCCACCCTGAGATGCTGCTGTGGGGCTAAAGCTCAAAAGCGCTTGCCCTGGTTCCCGCACCTGCCCATCTGCATGCTCCCCCTCCTGTAAAAGTTTTGAGATCATGGTGGCTGAACAGAGAGCCACACCTCTGTCGTATATCCTGCAAGTGGGGGCCAAACTCTCCCATTTTACCACTCCCAGCTGTCTTGCCTTTCCAGACCAAACCAACATACCTCTTACATAGATAGATTGATGTCTTATGTCTTCCTAAAATGTATAAAACCAAATTGTAGGCTGATCACCTTGGGCACATATATCAGGACCTCCTGAGGCTGTCATGAGCATGTCCTTAACCTTAGCCAAGTAAACTTCTAAATTAATTGAGACTTGTCTCAGATACATTTTGGTTTACTATAAGCTTTCTAAATTTTCTTTCTTATCTATAAAGCTGGGATCTTAATAGAAGCTACCTCGTAGAATTGTGGCGAGGATTCATTAACTCATTCAGTAATCCACATACTTTTTTGAGCACCAGCTACATGCTACTCATTCTTTTAGCACTCACCAGGTTGAACAGGAGAAATAAATAGAAGGTTCTATTATTATAGAGCTTCCATCCTAGCAGGAAAGAAATAAAACAACCACACATGAAGCTTCAGAGTATGACAAGTACTTTGATGGAACTAACACAAGGTGATATAACAGAAAGCATTTGGCATTGGGTATGCCAACTTAAACAGAGAAGTCAGCGAAGACCTCCTGAAAGAAGTGGTTTTCAACCACACACAGAAAGGAGCTACTACATGCAAAGCTGTATATACTTGGTAGATAGTAGGTCAAATGCATGTCAACTATTTTAAAGATAAATAAGATGTTAGAACGGAAGATTTTCTGCCTCACTCTTTAAAAAATCAGCGGTGTGTGTGTGTGTGTGTGTGTGTGTGTGTGTGTGTGTTTGTGTGCGTGTGACAGGTTCTTACTCTGTCACTCAGCCTGGAGCACAGTGGTGCCATCATGGCTCACTCTAGCCTCAACTTGCCGAGCTCAACTGATTCTCTCATCTCAGCCTCCTGAGTAGCTGGGACTACAAGTGCCCAATAGCATGCCTGGCTAGTTTTTGTGTTTTTTGTAGAGACAGGGTTTTGCCATGTTACCTAGGTTGGTTTCAAACTCCTAGGCTCAAGTGATCCTCCCACCTTGCCCTCCCAAAATGAATCAGGGAAAAATCTTTGTCCTCAAAGATCCTGACCTCAAATGCCCAATCAGGCATGTACCTTTCAAGAATTCTCTCATTATGACATTAAAAGTCTTCAATTCTTTCTTGTTTGATAGAGTTTCAAATATGATTTTAACTCTCCCTGAATCACTTGTCTCCCATTCATTCTTTCTCTATTATGCCTATTTAATCCAACACAGAAATACAATTTTTGTCCTTTAGGTGTAGAAAAACCATGGTCAGATACAGATAATGACAGGAAGAAAAGGCCAGACAGTGATAGGTGCCTGTGGCATCTAGAGACACAAAAACATTCTTGGGAAGCTGATGTCACTGGAAAATTGTAACATAAATTACAACTTCACTTGGAATTTATGTCACTGGGAAATTGTGTTTGTTACAACTTCCCTTGGAATTCATTCTATTGTAAGTGAATGGAAAGAATATTTTGATAGGACCCTTGGGGTAGGATTTGAGAGCCCCAAGGGATATTCTTGTCTGCCTTCAAAAGAGAATGGGTCCATTTAATTGCCTCTGATTGTTATTTGCTTGTTTGTTTTTTCCAGTTGGAATCTGCAACTGTGGGTCGGGAATACATTTCTCTGGAAAACAGAGCAGAATCTAAATAATGCCATCTGGAGTTGTTCTTCTTCACAGCATTGTTGTTCCTCTAAATAAATGTTGAACAAATATTTAAAGAACGTTAATTTGAACTATGGTCTAATTATTGGCTGTCCTGGTCCAGCTCAAGTTGTTACAGTTGTGAACCACAAAAATGGGTTCAACCGAGTTAAATGCTGTCCTGGGAAATCACAGAAGAGTTGTTCTAATGATCTACAAAGAGCCACTTCTTTTAAAGCTCTAGACGCTTACATCCTCTGAAAGCAAATACTTTTTTATCCTTACAAAAACATTAACTCTTTTTGGCCACTGGAGGATGCCCTTTCAAAAAAATGAGTAGTATATCACTACCAAGACACAACCACGTTTGCTTCTGGGAAAAGGGGGGATAAAAGAGTACTTGTAAAGCACCTATTATTGAGCTGAAAGAACACACTTGCTTGTCACTGATACGGACAGGAGGCAGGGAAATACTGGGTAGAAGAGGGCAGTTCCCAGCAAAATCCCCACCTTCAAGCCTGGAAACCTGCAGCCCTAAATGGGAACAGGCATTCTTGTTTTCACGCCCAGATGTTGCCCTTTCCAAGACCACTCTATTCTGCCACACCCCTATCCTGTGCCAATATAAACCCCAAGCTCCACTGGCAGAGTGACAGAGTGGTGCAGCAGAAAAGAAGAGAAGAGGAGGAGTGTCTGAATATTGAGAGGAGTTCACCTGTGAACATTCAGAGAGGAGATTGGCCACAGAATGGTCAAACTCTCAGGGAAGATCATCTTCCCACACCATCCCCTTTCCAGCTTCCCATTCATCCTGCTGAGAGCCACCTCCATCACTCACTGAAATCCCTGCATCCATCCTTCAAGTCCTTGTGATGATTCTTCCTGGATGCCATACAAGGACCCAGATATCAAGAGGACAGGGTGCAAAAGGCTGTCACCATGACTCTCCACTGAGGTGGTTAACACTTAGCTATCTGCAGAAGGCAAAGCTAAAAGAAAATTGTAACACTTCTAACACTGTGGTGGGGTCAGAGCCCAAAAGCGTTCACCCTGGCTCACTTGTATGCTTCTACTCCCGTAAGGGATTTGAGCACACAGCAGCTGAGTAAATGAGCCACCACTTCGCAAGGAGTTCTGCAAAAGGATAAAGGGAATTTTCCTGTCTTATCTTTATTACAAAAATTATCTTATTTAATTCACACATCGATGCAGTGAGGTAGGCACTCTCATTCCATTTTACAGATGAGAACACTGAGACTTGAAAAGGTAGAATAATTCACCCAGGTCACACCCAGCTCAAATAATGTGCCTGGGTTACACAACCAGCTTAAGCAAAGTTGTGACACAAATCCAGGTGTGGCTGCCTCCAAAGCTCATGTTGTTTCCATGACACCAGGGCATTATATAATATTTATCAGGGTGTTAGCTATACGTACATCATCACTTTGGCCTCTTCAATGAAATCCTCTTCAGACATGGAGCCTTCATTGATGGCCTTGATAGCTACCTGGATATGTGACCGCCATTCACCTAAATGGACCACTCCAAACTGACCACTTCCAATCTCCTTTATAAAAGCCAACTCAGACGGATCTATCTCCCACTTTTCTGAAAAAGTAAAATACCCATGTTACAATTAGAAAAAAAGAGTGTTAAAATTTGGGGCTGGAAAATGTTTAGGAATTATCTATTATTTGACCAAGAGGTTAAAACATTTATAAACAAGTGGAGAGGATCTGAAGCCATTTTAATACACTCACTGTGACTTAAATATAATTCAAGAACTCAAGTTTCAAAACACAAACTTTGCTTATTTGGTGATGTTTGTACAACAGACTATGGATAGCAAATGCACTCTCTGTTCCCAAAGAGAACAGTGAACACACTTCTGTGCCTTTCTAAACTAAACCTACCAAAACTAGACCTGTGACCCAAAATATTTATGTTCCCAGTCTGGTTTTTTCCTGGTGAGTAAATTTGTAAGGCAAATAAAACTGTGATTTCAGTTCCTCCTATTGATCTTCTCACTGCATCTCTAAAGGGCTTTTCTCCCTTGGTACTTCTTCTTCCTAGGGAAAAGCCCAATGAAATCATCTAATAAACATATTCAATGTTAGAAATCTAACCCACATATATCTAAGAGTATATCCGAAGTGAAATTTGTTGCTGTATATTTCTCATTTTATAGAAGTAAATCAGGATAAAATAAACTGCTCTTAAAATAACCCTCTTGAAAACTAACAAACTTAATGGTTTTAGTGTCTCCTTTTTATACAGCAACACTACCATCTGCTGGAACTTTCAAATCATGCATTTAAGAGTTGTAAAGGCTGATAGTCCCTTCTACCAGCTGTGCAAAGTATTCCCTCTCCCTATAATAGGTATGTTATATTTTATTATTACTTTTTTTTTTTTGGAGACAGAGTCTTGCCCTGTCATCCAGGCTGGAGTGCAGTGGCACACTCTCAGCTCACTGAACCTCCACCTCTTGGGTTCAAGCAATTCTCCTGCCTCAGCCTCCCAAGTAGCTGGGATTACAGGCGTGCCACCACACCATGCTAATTTTTGTATTTTTAGTAGAGACAAGGTCTCATCATGTTGCCTAGGTTGGTCTCAAACTCCTGAGCTCAGGCAATCCCTCCACCCTGGCCTCCCAGAGTACTAGGATTACAGGCAAGAGCCACCACACCCGGTCTAGAAGGTATGTTTTAAAAGTAACATGGGAGGATATATTTATGGCTTTGGAATTAGCATAGATTTATTCAACAGACTATAACCACAAAGAAAAATATTGATAAATTATACTTCATAAAACTTATGTTCATCAAAAATACCCCCATTAAGAAAGTAAAAACTTAAGCCACAGAAGATATTTCTAAAATATACAACCAACATAGAATTCTTATTCTGAATATAAATAAATCAACTAGAGAAGACATATAACCTAAGTTTTTTAAGGGTAAAAAAGTTGAATGGAGTATTCTCTCATAAAGAGAATATCCAAATGGCCACTAAACCAAACTTACCAAAATAATTAGTCATCAGGGAAATGTAAATTTAGACCATAATGAGATACTGCTACACATGCCAGATTGGCTAACATGTAAGGAAAAAACTAGAATAAAATATTGGCAAGCGCAAAGGTATGGAGCCACTGTAACTTATATATTAATTTGGTATAAGCTCTTTAAAAAACTGACTGTATTTACTAAATCTAAACATATGCATAGCCTATGACCCAACAGGTCTACACTTGAGCACCTATCCAACATATGCTGGAATGTAAATGAGCACTTAACTTCATCAAAACACACAGAGGAATGTTCTTAACAATGTTATTTGTAAAATATATATATATATTATTTGCCAAAAATTGGTAACAACCCAAATGGCCATCTAAAGAAGCATGGCTACATTGGTTGTGGTATGTCATGCAGGGTAGGGTAGCACTGCACCACAGTGAAAATAAGCCAGCCCCATCCAGGACCACAGATGAAATTCACAGATGTAATGAGGAAAGGAGGAAGACGGATACAAAAAAATGCATAGTGTCCAATTCTATTTCTGTAACCAGGCAGAACAAATCAAGCTATAGACTTATGAGTTGTGTGCTATTCTATTTGTTTTTAATTTTTTTTCAGTTTATTTTTAAGAAATTAAAAAGAACATATTTAACTTAAGTAAACTGTTAATGGTGGAACTTCGTGTTATGTATAGCATCTGGGGACCAGAGGAATAATACAAGCACCAATAATAGCCAGAAATCCTGCTTCCATTCCACTTAACTTAATGAAACCCTGAGTCCCAGTGACTTGTTTCCCGATATAATTGTGTTATTACTTTTCTTCAGTGTATTCTGAATCCCAATAATGAGAGAAGTTTAAAAGAATAAAACATCACCAAATTAGAAAATAGGATTCCCTGGCACTTATTTATTCTCACAGTTTTACAAATAGCGTATTTGCTAGAAAGTAACTCAAATTGAACTTTGTGCACATTCTATTTGGAAAAAAAAAAAAAAGGATGAAGAATATACTTTTAGCAGCTCTTTTTAGTAGCTTCTCTTGGAGAGGAATCATTTCCCAGGCACTCTTGTAACCAAAGAACAACACCAGCAAACATCCAAATAAAAAGAATTGTAATTTATCAAAGGGGTGAAGATTAAAGCTCCTGATAATGTAACAGTAAAATCTGAAGTAAAACTGAAGCATTTCTCCCCAGTTTATATTGCCCTTATGAGATGCACATATTTAAACATCTCAGAAGGAATGTTTCTAGATAGACATTTCAGAAGTGCTGAGAGTTCAAAGAACCAACAGGGAACTTGGAGTAGATTCTTGTCTTATTTATTTATTTATTTATTTATTTATTTATTTATTTATTTAAAGAGTCTCACTCTGCTGCCCAGGCTGGAGTGCACTGCAACCACTGCTTCCTGGGTTCAAGCGATTCTCCTGCCTCAGCCTCCCAAGTAGCTAACTACATCCCACTATTTTTTTGTATTTTTATTAGAGACGGGCTGTTACCATTTTGGCCAGGCTAGTCTCGAACCCCTGACCTTAGGTGATCCACCCGCCTCAGCCTCCCAAAGTGCTAGGATTGCAGGCATGAGCCATGGCGCCCGGCCAGAGTAGATTCTTTACTACTGGATTTGCTATTTTACTTCATCATGCGTACACACTTTACCGTAGCTAAACCCAGCAGTGGCTGGTAAACAACTGCCCATCAGCCCAACTGGATATCGGAGACGTGTCATGAGACCTATGGAGAAAGAGAAATCAATATTTCAAGCCTAGTTGCCAATATAGAAGAAAGAATGAAATATACTAGGAGGTAGTACCATTCTTTAAATACTTAGCCAAACAAAATGCATTCTACAGGTTAGTTTGCTTATTTTCCCATTTAAAAAACATTTTCCAAAAAAAATGTTGAATGTATACAATTTAAAGAACCTAACAAAGTATAAAGATGACCCCAAAAAATCCCTCACAAAAATCTTAGAATACACAGATAGATTCTTATCGTCTTCGTGAACATGTTTGCAAAAATCTCTATGTGCATAATTGAAAACATGAACACATCCAATATATTATTTTCCAAAAAATGTAAATATTTTACAACAAGCTTTTTGCACTAAGCATGTAATTGATATATGTCATTGACTATAAACAGAGCTTAAAATTTATTTCCAAGATTTCACTATTGTAAAATATGTCATATGTCCTTGAACATATATTTGTCTGTACCTCTCAATTATCACCTAATAAAATGCGATTTCCAGGTAAAAGGGTGTCCAGAAAGGCTGTACTAATTCATTCATCCACCAATGGTGTTGAAGTGTGCCCATTTTCTACACTCTTGTTTTTTGTTTTTTAATAGCATGGTAGAGTAAATGAGACTTCATTTGATTGGGTTAACATATAGAATTCTATACATTAAATGTCTCTTTTTTTCCTTTCAGTGACCAACTTGGGCATATACCTTACATTTCAATTTAGTTTAATAACCATTTATTATTTATTTATCCAACTAAAATTTATTAAAAGCCTGGTATGTGCCAAGCACTAGCTAGATGTTAGGAGACAGTAGTGAACAAAACTGATAATCCCCGCCCTCATGAAGATTACATTCTAGTGAGAGGAAGAGAAAATAAACAAGTGCATGCACACACAAGAACAAGTAGATGATGATGATGAAGTGCAAGGCAGACTAGATAACATATAGCAACTTTAGAGTGGGTGCTCAGGGAAGGCCTTTCTGACAAGATGACAGCTATGCTGATGTTGATTGACGAAGAGCCTTCCAGGTAGATGAAACAGCATGTGCAAATACTAGAAGACAGAAATGAGCTTGACCAGTGTAAGAACAGAAAGAAGCACATATTAAATGCCTGTTGTGTGCAAGGCACTCTTCTAGGTAGATTCCCAAAGATCCCAGCAGATCCCAAGATAAGTAAGATGAGGGCTCTACCCACAGGGAGCTCTATCTCAGTGAGGGAAGACAGGCAGAGAGAGGCCATTCTAATGTGAAAGTGGTAAGTATTGTGCTAGAGATGCATATAGGGTGCCTTGGGACATAGAGAAAGAGCACTTAACACATTGTTGGACTCAAAGAAGTCTTTCAGGAGAAAATGACTAAGACGAAACTAACACATGGAGTTAACTCATGAGGAGAAACTATGAAGGACTTTCTAAGCAGAGGAAACAGCATGAGATGAAACGTAGAAGTGTGGAGCATGTTGGTGGGTACTTGAGCAAAACTCAGGAGGTACAGTGAGACAAATTACACTGGAGAGGTAGGCAGCATGCTGGGTATGATGGGCCTCATAAACCATGCTAGGGAGCCTTACATTTTCCTGCAAGTGAGAGGAAGCTATTGAAAAGTCCCAAGTAGGAGGGCACAGCCAGTTTTATATATCCTTTTTTTTTTTTTTTTTTTTTTTTTTTTTTTTTTGAGACAGAGTTTCATTCTTGTTGCCCAGGCTGGAATGCAATGGTGTGATCTCAGCTCACTACAACCTCCGCCTCCCAGGTTCAAGCGATTCTCCTGCTTCAGCCTCTCAAGTAGCTGGGATTAAAGGCATGTGCCACCATGAGTGGCTAATTTTGCAATTTTTAGTAGAGACAGGGTTTCACCATGTTGGTCAGGCTGATCTTGAACTTCTGACCTCTGGTCACCCACCCACCTCAGGCTCCCAAAGTGCTAGAATAACAGGTATGAGCCACTGCCCCCCACCAGATTAACATTTCTGATAGATCACTCTGGTACTAGCAGAATGGATTAAGGGGAAATCAACATTGGTGGCAATGAGACCAGTTAAGAGGCTACTGCAGTTGTCCTAATGAGCAATGATTATGCCAGCACTAGAAGAAGGGAGAGGCAGGCATCTATAAGAGATACAAGTCAGAATATGAAATCAACTGCATTTGATAATTAATCAGTAGTGAAGTATTAAGAAGCATCTATTTCATGCCACTGCACTCCAGCCTGGGCTACAGAGCGAGACTCCATCTCAAAAAAAAAAAAAAAAGCATCTATTTAATTTATATGCTTCCAACCCACACAAATGGGCTGAATGGTGCTAGTGTTACCTGAAAGAGACAATAGAAAGAGGAGACTTGGAGGGAGAGTAATGGTATAACATGAAGCATCCTATTTCATCAGTGAAGTTCAGGGCCTACGGGATTGCCAAGTGCCTCTGTCTACAAGACAGAAGGTTATGCAAAGAGAGATGCCTAAGTTGAGAAGAGAAGTGATCATGGATGGATTCCTGAAGACAACCAATATTTAAGGGAAGAGTAGAAGTAGGACACATTGGGAAGACCCAGTAGGAACTACTGGGAGTTAGGGAAGGCCAAAAGGGGGTGATGTCAAACACTGAGGGAGCAACAGGTGACACTACCAAATGCAGCAGAGAGGATCTGCACACAGGAGAACCAGAAAGCATCACCGTACTGTCAATAGGGGGCCACTGGTCAAATATGGAGTGCTGAAGGCAGAGGACAGATAGTAGATGTTTAAAAAGTAAATGGAAAGTGAGGAAGCAGAGACAGAGGATGTGGACATATTTTTCCAAAAGTATGACTTACAGGAGCAATGTGTAAACAGAGAAAGAATTAGGGCAGCGGGAGGAGAGTTGTTTTTGTTTTTAGGGTAAGAAAGTCTTAAGCATGTTTATAGGGTTAAGGGCTAAAGGGAGAAAGACAAAAGAACATAAGAGAAACAGAAGAGAAAGAGCAGTGGATGGCAGGCAAGAGCAAGAGCACAGGCATGGCCACACTACTACTGGAGGGAATGAGGATAAGAGGGCATGGGGACAGAAGGTGAGACGGAGGTCGCTCATGCCTGGTGGCTTCACTTTTCTTAATGATGTAGATCAGGCATCCCCAAACTTTTTACACAGGGGCCAGTTCACTGTCCCTCAGACCGTTGGAGGGCTGCCACATACTGTGCTCCTCTCACTGACCACCAATGAAAGAGATGCCCCTTCCTGAAGTGCGGTGGGGAGTAGGATAAATGGCCTCGGGGGGCCACATGTGGCCCGCAGGCCGTAGTTTGGGGACACCTAATGTAGACAGACAGGAGATTTGCTAATAGGGCAGTGGTTAGTTCTGGTAAAGGAGTCTCGAGAATGGTAAAAGTTTGAACAGAGAACAGGAATGGATGCTACCAGTGACTCTAAGACCTAGCTGAGGTTAAAGCCCTCATCTAACCTCATGTAACCTAATCACCATAAGCACTCTTTCTCAAGTTTTTTCTTTGGAGGAAGGAGAAAGAAGAATATAAAGGAGAAAATTCAGAACTGACCTCTTGATTCTAGCTCTAGCTACAACTATGACCTTTATGGCCCCACCCAGACATTTTACCCTCACTCCTTAACCAAACTTCCAGTGACTGCCTGGAACATCCATGTGAATGCATCCCACAAGAGGATAAAAATGTCCTTTGATATATTCCTGATACTTAGAACTAGTGTAATGAAAAGTAAGCTCTTTCCAAAAGGATTTTTTTTGTCAACACTTTTCATGAGAGAAATCTAAAACAGAAATACATTACAAGAAGTCAAAATAATATGAAAAGTTACAGTGGATTCTAAATTCTGCAATGCTGAGATAAGAAGATTCCCCATGGGCTCAAAGTTGTTCATCACAGGTTGAGTGAGGGCTGAAGGTCAGAGATGTGATTGTAATTCTGGTGGAACTTTCTGGGTTACTATGTCTTTTCACAGATGATAGGTTTGTACAAATAGCAATTATTGCAAACAATAGCTGGGGAGATGGGTTAACTATGCCTCTGGTATAGTCAGGCTAAATTGTAACTGTGAAAGGCTGTGTTCTCTGTGACTTTTTATATTCTTCAAACAAGAAAGAACAGAGAATGAGAGATATAAGGGTAATTTTTTATTGCAATTGTCTAGAGAGCAGATTTATGGGGGCAAAGGGAAAAAAGCAGCATTATTTAGGGTGTTTGAAATCTTATCACATTTAGCCCTATGTAAAATTTCCAGAACAAATGCATAATGATTGACAACTATTTCCTTCTCCATCCGCTATCATGTTTCTAACCTGGCAGAAATGTAAGAAATTGACCTACCTCTTGCCCCCGACCAACCAGAAAAATGAAGAGGCATCAATAAGAAAGAGAACTGCTCAAATGACAGGCTGTATTTCAAGCTCTTAAACTATTTCTACAGGGAGATTTGCTCCTGTGCAGTGTCTGATACTAAAGATGCATTGGTCATCAAGGGCCTGGCTCCCTGACTCACCCAGCTTGAAGTTCCCCACTTACCCGCTGCATTGTGCTGGTGATACCAGATTAACTCGGGGATTGATTGAAAGAGGTGCCTTTCAGCCACATACCACTGTCCTGAGTCATTCTTTTTTATCTGATAATGTTTTATGGTAGCCTCTGTACTTCTACAATCAAGAAAATGTGAATTACTAAAAGAGTGAAAGATCACTTTGGAACTAAGCCAACTCATTAAACAACAGGACTCCAGTTCTAAAACTCATCCTAGCAACACTACACTGAGAACTGAATTGACTAAATTCAACAAGTGCCTCCCCATGCCAAGAAAATTCCTCAGCTAAATTTTTGGGGCCTTAGATTCAAACATAACTTCAGCCAAAGTTGTCTGAGTGACAAGACCACTGTCCAAAAAAGCAGATATCATAACGAATCCATCTAAGTACATACTGAATCTCAAGTATTGGTTAAATGAATGAACAGACGCACTGTGAGCAATTGGAGATGTAAGACAAGGAAGGGAGGAAAACCCAATGCCAGGTGCATTCGTTAGCAGGTTGCTACTATGGGCAATTGGGGCTCAATGCTTCCAGGAACCTAGGAGAGACTGGGGAACACATCTCACAATTGTCCCACTGAAGTACAAAGAAGCAGAGATATTTATCCACCAACTCCTATTTTCTTTAACGTAGGGTTGCTCCTGGGATGTTACGTCTCAGACACTTTGAGCTTAGCCATGGGGCCCACAAGTTCCCACAGCCACAGAACGTCCTCAGGCAGACAGACACAGGAAGCTTTCTAAGTGCAGGAGACCTTTCTGCAGGTGAATCCCAGAATAGTCCAGGGGATATGAGGAAAGCGCCCAACAGTGTCTACTACAACTAATCTCCCCCTCTTTACTTGATCATTGAGAAAAGGAAGACAAGAGAGGTTAAGAAACTTATCCAATGTGACCCAGAGCATGCTAAGGACATATTACAGACTGGTTGGTTTTCCTAACTTCTAGGCCAGCAATCTTTTCCCTAAGCTAAGTTCTCACTAACATTCTCTGTATGATGGAGACTGTCCCAGGGATTATTTCTACAGTAACCAAAATCATAAGTGCTTACCTTCTAGCTCCTATAAATACAGAAATTGTGTAGGATCCTAAATGTCTTGAATCTCTGACGATAAATGCACCTTCTTTAGACTGCAAAAAAATCATTTATTGAATAAGTTATTCCTTCTTAGAAAGAAAGACAAACCTACAAGTCAGGGATGAAAATCAAAGCTATATTTACTTACCACAAATAAGCAACCTACTATATTCTTAAAATAAAGAATTAGATTGTCTTTATAAGTATACAAAATCTTATCTTTCCTATACATTTTGAAGTCACATCTAAAAAATGAAATATAATTGAGACAAGCATTTATAATGTATTTTAGAATATTGTGGCTGATTTTTCTAAGAAAAATTCTCTATTTGACAACCTTGTTCCCTACTGCTTCGTTATTTTTGTTATATTGATCAGGATAACGGATTTTTTAAAATCACTGTAGAATAGGAAGAACCCTGAGACAAACTGACTGGACTGTATTTTGGAAGAAGAGCAACAAGGTGGCAGGGAGAAACACAGCTGGGCATGTAGGGAGTCGGGAAGGAGACTAGAGTTCATGGAAGGGATGGAGGAAGAACAGATTTGGGGGATTCTGAAAAGAAAAGCAAGAAGAACCATATTAGTTGCAGCAGGGGTATGGGAGAGATAAAAGGAAATAGTAAAGAGGAGAACATGATAATAAATTGAAATTATGTTATAAATTAGACTCCTATTGATATTCTTTGGGAGATGCCAATAAAGCTGTAAATTGCTTTCAAAGAATCTTGAATGTTGAGTTGTTTTGATTCATTTGTTTGATATCGTAATGTTGTAGCTTTACCGAGTGTGCTTACGCTCATGAAGAGGAAAAATACATCTCAGAACCTTGTCAAATCCATAGAAGTTTACATTTATGGAGTGCTGGCATCCCTTACATTATGCCTGAGAGTTGCAGAACCCAAATAGCATGGTCTGACCCTCAAGGTAAACGTATTATATTAAGTAGAGTCTTCTCCTTCTCATTTCAGATATTCATCAAGACATAAGCCTTAATCCTTGGTCCAATTATTTTAACCAAAGAATCTCTTGCAGCCATTCGAAATAATAAAATCTAGCTTTTACTGTATTCCTATGATATACAAGTTTTCTGTTACATACCACAGGGGACATGAGATGCAAAAGACAAACACGCAAAAATGAAGTTGAATGTATTGTGTATATGTATATAATACACACAAACAAGTATATATAATGTGTATACAAACAAAAGTTGCATATGTGGTGATCTCTTCATAGAAACAAAGTGAAAGAGTACAAGCAAGATTTCCTGACTACAAAGCAATAAAGCCAGAAATTAATAACAAACCCAAAAGTAAAAAGCTCCTATCATCTTTAGAGTTTTAAATTTCTTTTTTCTCTTTCTTTCTTTCCCTTCCTTCTTTTTTTTTTTTTTTTTTTTTTTTTTTGAGATGGAGTCCCACTTCATCATCCAGGCTACAGTGCAATGGCATGATGTTGGCTCACTGCAACCTCCATCTCCCAGGTTCAAGCAATTCTCCTGCCTCAGCCACCCCAGTAGCTGGGATTGTAGGCACATACCACCATGCCTGACTAATTTTTGTATTTTAATAGAAATGAGGTTTCACCATGTTGGCCAAGCTGGTCTTGAAATCCCGACCTCAAGTAATCTGCCCACCTCAGCCTCCCAAAGTGCTGGGATTATAGGCATGAGCCACTGCACCCAGCCTTTTAAATTGTCTTTCATATAGCTCAAGGAAATTCAAATAAAAGTAAAAAAATCTAGAAAGTAATAATGAAACACAACATACTAGCACCTCTGCTATGCAGTTCAAGCAGTACTCAGAAATAAATTTATAGTCTTATTATTTATATCAATAAGCAATAGCAATACAAATAAGCATATTCAACTCAAGAAGTTAGGATTAAAAACTATAAAATAAACCCAAGTAAAGTAAAAGAAATAAATTGATAAAGACAAAATATAAAATAAATTATTAAAGCAAGAATATAATGTGACTAGTAAGTTTAAAATCTGGTTGCAAGGAAAATTAATAAACTGCTAATTAACCTAATCATTAAATAATAGTGAAAATCAATGAAAAATAAATCACAAGGAGAAAATTATCAAGGATCCAGCAAAAATTAAGAAATTTACTTGATTCTATACAACAAATTTGGAAACTTGAATGAAATCGATAATAAATAGTAAAACATAAAATTTATCAAAATTGAATCCAAAAGAGGTAGAAATCTTAATGAATCTGTTGAGTAGAAAAATGTATCGGGTTTTTTAAAAGCTACCACATTAAATTGTATTATATTCACACATCATAATGTACTTAACATTAAAGAAAAAAATGGTATAGAGGCTGGGCACAGTGACTCACACCTGTAATTTCAACACTTTGGGAGGCCAAGGCAGGTGGATTATCTGAGGTCAGGAGTTCAAGATCAGCCTGACCAATATGGTGAAAACTCATCTCTACTAAAAATACAAAATTAGCCAGATGTGGTGGCGGGCACCTGTAATCCCAGCTACTCTGGAAGCTGAGACAGGAGAATCACTTGAACCCAGGAGGCAGAGGTTACAGTGAGCTGAGATTGTGTCACTGCACTCCAGCTTGGGCAACAGAGTGAGACTCCATCTCAAAAAAAAAAAAAAGAAAGAAAGAAAGAAAGAAAAAAGAAAAGAAAAATGGTATAGAGGTGAAACTATGCCAGAGCACATGACATGAAAAGAAGAAAAACTTTTCAGTTTGTATGTATAAAATGAGCTTAATATCAATAACCAATGGCACAGCCAAAACTGTGCACAAAAAACTACTGACCAGTCTTACCTGTTTCAATGTAAAAATTCTAAATAAAATGTTAACAAACAAATCCAGAAGCACAAAAGAATGATATACCATGACCAAGAAGAAATGCATGCAAGAATGTAAGAATAATTCAATATTTGGGATTTTATTAATATAATTTATCATATTATTAGGTTGGTGCAAAACTAATTGTGGTTTTTTTCCATTAAAAGTAACTAAAAGTAATGGCAAAAACCACAGTGACTTTTACACCAACCTATGTAACAGATCTAAGGAGAAAAACCACATGAACATCCCTAGAGATGTTGAAAAGCCATTTGACAAATTTCAACTTCTAGTATAAATTTTTTGTCATTCTCAATAAAATAGAAATGTGTGTGTACTTCCTTAACACAATAGCACTTATTTACTTTAGTCTCAGATCCAGCATCATGCTATATATGAAAATCATTCCAAATAAAATCTGAAAAAGGGCTGGACACAGTGGCTCATGCCTGTGCTCCCAGCACTTTGGGAGACTGAGGCAGGCAGATCACTTGAGTCTAGGAGTTTGAGACCAATCAGGCCAACATAGCAAAACCCCACCTCTACTGAAAATGCTAAGTGGTGCCACATGCCTGTAATCCCAGCTTCTCGGGTGACTGAGGCATGAGAATTGCTTGAACCTGGGAGGCAGTGGCTGCAGTGAGCCGAGATTGCACCACTGCATTCAGTTTGAGCAAAACAGCAAGATTGTCAAAAAAAAAACAAAAAAAAAAAACAACACCTGAACAAGGAAATAATCCCCACTACTATCATCACTGGCAATTCATACTATTCTGGAGACACTAGCCAATTCAACTAAAAAAAAGGCAAAAATTAAAAGTGCTATGTTAAAATTACAAAAGAAGAGTTGAACCCATCACTGTTGGCTGCTGATTGTATACTGGAAACCCAAGAGAATCAACTGAAAAACTGCTACATAAAACATGAGAATTCACCCAAATTATCAGTTACAAAATTAATTCACAAAAATCAAAAGCTTTATAAGTAAAAATAAGATATACTCATTTATGACAGCAACACAAAAGGTTAAATATTAAATATTTAAATATTTATTTTAAGATAAAATATTTACTTAAATATTTATTTTAAGATAAAAATAAATGTGCAAAGTTGTATGAAGAAAACTCTAAAATGCTCCTGACAAATATAAAAATGTTTCCTTTTCTCATCAGGTGTTTAATATACTTATGGTTATTTTTCCTAGATATATGAACCTAATTTTTTCTATATTAATATTAATATATGGGTTCTAGAACAAATGGGTCCCCAAACCTCACTGATTTGTAATGCCAGAATATTTTTTCCCAAATTAATCTGTATATTTAATGCAACCAACCAATAGGAAGATTTTTTTAAATGAGACAAGGAGATTCTCAAGCTTATACGGACAAAAAATATATATTAATACATCCAGAATATTTCTGAAAAAGAATAATGAGGGAGGCTAGCCACACTAGAGACAGCTTCTGTACTTAAAAGTGTAGTTGTCCTCTATGAATAGACAAGCTGATCAATAAAACCAAGTAGAAAGCCTAGATATAGTCCAAAATAGGCATTTTGTTTATGATGAAAATGGCATCTCAAGTCAGTGCAGAAAGATGAATGTTTTGTAACCATCTAGAAAAAAATAAAGTCAGATCCATATCTCACTCCTTACATCAGGAAAAATTACAAATGGATCAAAGATAAAAATGCAAAAGATAAAACCACTAAAGTGATCAAGAAACATGAGAATATTTTTAATAACCTGGGAGAGGGAAGGCAATACATATAAAATTCAAATACCATTCAGGCCAAAATACTGTAAGACAATAGAAAAACTGCCGGAAATAACACCACATGTCACCAAGGGCTAATTTCCTTAATATGGCTACATAGGTCCTACAAATTCTGAGAAAAACATCAAAAACCCAATAGAATACTATGCAAAGGATATGAACAAAGAGTTCACAGAAAAGGAAATACAGACATACAAAATTTATCATACAAAAAATGCTTAGCATTCCCAGAATAAGAGAAATGCAAATTACATCCACACTGAGATGCAGTGTAAGAGAGCAAAGACCCAGATGTTTTTTATAACGTGCTGGGTGGAAAGGTTATGGGAAAACAGACTCGCTTACATTTCCGGTAGGCATATACATTGATACAACTGCTGAAGACATTTCGGTATTTGTTAAAATTAGAAATGTATATTTCATTTAACCCAGAGTTTGCACCTTTGAGGATTTATCCTACAAACACACCTAAATGAGAAAAGATAATGTGTACAGGCTATGGATGGCAGCACTCTTTCAACAGCAAAAGAATATCTACCATTTCATTTTCATAATGAAGAATTGTTTTTAAAAATTGTGATACAACCAAACTAAGGAATACCATGCAGGTATAAAGTGAAGGAGGGCACATTTTGTGTACTGATGTGGAAAGATTCTAAATATATATCCTTATGTGAAAAAATAATACATATAAAAGTATATATAGCATGCTATCATTTGGGTAGAAGTAACAAAACAAGAAAACATATTTGTACTTACTCGTGTATGTATTAAATATCTTGGAAAGGACACAAAATAAACTAATAGAAGTTTTTCTGTGTGGAGGGAAATTGGTGACTTAAAGACAAGACGGAAGAAAACTTTCTAAAATCTTTTGATTTTGGACCACGTGAACATACTATTGAAATATAAAATAAATACAAATTATAGGATATTGCTATGAATTGTTAATGGAACAAATTTGAAAATAAATTTAAAATAGGCAATTCTCTAGGTAAATATAAATTATCAAACTCCAAAAAGAAAAGGAAATTCAATCAGTAATCACGTATCTACCTTTTTGTAAAAGCAGCGTATCTGGACTCTCTTACAAGACAGTTATGGTTCCTAACCAATATCAACTATTCCACAGATTGGAAAGAAAGACAAAGCCCTATCCCTTAACTCATTTTATGATGTTAATGTAACCTTTATACTAAAACCAAAGAGAACAGAAAATTATAAGCCAGGCTTCCTTTTGACCATAACATGCTTTGAACATAGTATGCTGAATAAAATATCAGGAAACCAAAACCAGAATATGTATTTTAAATGCTTCATGACAAATACGATTTAATCCAGGTGTATTTTTAAAATAAAAATTAGAAAATATATAAATTAGAAAAACATTTTTAAGATACATAGGAAAAATATGTATATTTTAAATACCCTATGCTTTATACACATATACACGCACATTTCCGATAAAGACCCAGATGTGAAAAGCAAATCCTTAATACATTTAAAAGAAAATAGAGAATCTATTTATGACTTCAATTGGAAGAAAAACCTCTTACACTAATCAAAAAAAGAAAAAAAGTACAGATAATAAAGGAAAATTTGAGAAATGTGACCACATAAACCTTTTTAAATTCTATGCAAGAAAGGAAAACATGTAGTTTTCTTAAATGCCAGAAACCAGAAGAGTATATTTATAATACATAACTGACAAAAAAGATTGGTATTCTGGATACACTTTTTATAATTTTTTTTAATTGATTTTTTTGAGACAGAGTCTCACTCTGTCACCCAGGCTGGAATGCAGTGGCATGATCTTGGCTCACTGCAATCTCCACCTCCCAGGTTCAAGTGATTCTCCAGCCTCAACCTACTGTGTAGCTGGGATTACAGGTATGCACCACCACACCCGGCTAATTTTTATATTTTCAGTAGAGATGGGGTTTCACCATGTTAGCCAGGCTGCTTTCAACCTTCTGATCTCAAATGATCCACCTGCTTTGGTCTCCCAAAGTGCTGGGATTACAGGCTTAAGCCACCACACCCAACTATACTTTTTAAAATACAGACTTATAGGTTAAAAAGCAAGTACTACAGGAAAAATGAACAAAAAATATTAACAGGCATGTCACAGAAGAGTAAGCTCAACCAGCCTACAGACACTTCAAAAGTAACTCAACTGCACTGGTAATCAAAAAATGTTTGAAAAGATATAAAATTTCTCACCCAATGAATTGAAAAAAAAAAGTGTGAAACTACTTGCCACCTGCTGGCAAGAATGTTGGGAACCAGTCTATCTCATTCACCACAAAAGCCTAAATTAGTATAACCGTTTTGAATCATGTTTTGAAAATATCTAATAATGTTAAATCTGCACATACCCTGTGACCACATAATTCTATTTCACTCTTGTGTACAACTTGACATTTATAAGAAAATTCACTGCAGAACTGTTTGTAACAGTAACAAATTAGGAACATTTTGAATGTTTATCCATATTGAATACAATTTTATATAGTCATACCATGAAATACGTACACTAATATACAGTTAAAGGAATGTGTTTGATCTATAGTATATGTACCCTTATCGATAAACTTTGCAAACATAATGTTTAACTAAAAAATCAACATACATATGATCTCCTTCTGTCAAATGGTAAAATACATAAAATAATGTTATAGGCTGTTTATGTGCATGCATGCATGATCAAAATATAAACACATGGACAAAATGGGAACATACCTTGCTGTTGTGACTGTCTCTGGGGAATGAGAGAGGACCAAAAAGATGAAGGGGTGGGCTTCCTGTAGCTGTAATTTTTTTTTTTAATGTCATGGCCAAATTTTAATATTTGGCATATCTGGATTGCGGGCCTGTGCGTATAGTTCATTCTTCCCAAGTCCCTGTAGAGATCCTGGCCTTGTCTGGCTTCTTTTCAGATGCAGAAGCTCTTGTCCTGAATCTGCACAGCCCAGTGATTTCAGCCATATTACCTGTGCCCAGTGTGCTGACTGCAGACCTCCTCTGGGACCTTCCTTCTCTGGTTCTGTCCACCTGTCATAACATTTTATTTCTCCATGTTGGACCTATTAATATCACCTCACAAAAGGCCATTTCCCGTGACCATACCAGGAAGATAGAATATTTGCTGCCCCACTCAATTTCCTCCAAGCAGGTGAGGCCTGTCCCGTCTCCATCCGCGCAGTCACCTGAGGATGGGCCTATGCCCCTCCTTCTCTGCCTAGCCCCTGCTATGAAGTGGGTCTTCATTGTGTCCTGTGCCATTACTGGCATGGAATTTTGAGTTACAGAACTGACTCTTTCTCATTCGCATTTCTAGATTTCTTCAACATCCCACAGCAGAGCACAACGACACACATACCTCTTACCTAGTTTCTAGTTCTGACCCTAGGTTTACCCACAGTTAATGTTTATCAACTGGAAATTTAAACTATGAGCAGTTCTGATCTGAGTTTGGTATTTTGGCTATTCAGCTCTTTCCTTTGCTTCCAAAGAACAAAGAAACTGGGGCAGCATGTATTTTTCTTTGTGTTTTTAATGAGTGTAACCTAAGTTCCTGAGGATCGAGTTTATACTTGGTGCAAGGTTATAATGAGCAACACAAATGCAGACTCCAGGCTAGGAATGGTGGCTCACACCTGTAATCTCAGCACTTTGGGAAACAGAGCTGGCCTGATCACTTAAGCTCAACAGTTCAAGACCAGCTGGGCAACATGGTAAAACCCCATCTCTATAAAAAATACAAAGAAACTACCCAGGCATGGTGGCATGACTGTAGTCCAAGCTACTCAGGAGGCTGAGGTGGGAAGATAGCTTTGAGCCCAGGAGGTCAAGACTTCAGTCAGCTGTGATCGAGCCACTGCACTCCAGCCTGGGTGACAGAGTGAGACCATGACTCAAAAAAAAATTATAGGCTGGGCACGGTGGCTCACACCTATAATCCCAGCACTTTGGGAGGCTGAGGCAAGTGGATCACAAGGTCAAGAGATCAAGGCCATCCTGGTCAACATGGTGAAATCCCGTCCCTACTGAAAATACAAAAATTAGCTGGACATGGTGGTACACGCCTGTAGACCCAGCTACCCGGGAGGCTGAGACAGGAAAATTGCTTGAACCCAGGAGGCGGAGGTTGTGATGAGCTGAGATTGCGCCATTGCACTCTAGCCTGGGTAATAAGAGCAAAACTCCGTCTCAAAAAAAACGAAACGAAAAGAAAAGAAAATTATACACACACACACACACATACACATACACGTACATGTAGAGAGAGAGAGAGATTCCATATATATATATACACACACAGTAGAGAGAGAGAGAGAGACTCCATTGACAGAATGCACCTTGGAGTCTCCCTATGTTGGAGTTGAAATCCTTTCAGGACAAAAATATTTCTGAAATTATAATGAAAGTTGACGGAAATGATCTGATACAAAGATATCTGATTTACAACTTCACATAAAATATATAGTTGGGATGTAATAATATTTTAGAACTAATATACTTTTTTAGCTGGTTAAAGTCTTTAAAAGTACTTCTCAGAAATTTTGAAAATGTCCACAAATACATTGAATTACCTCTTGTCTCAATAGACGTTCTGCCTGATTTCTGGTAATGTTTCTATGGTACCACCTGTAAAAGCAATAAAAATGATTTTTAAATTTTATATTCCATTTTTTGGAAAAAAAATGCTTCATTTTCTTCATTTTTAAGAACTTATTTCAGAACTGATCTTAGAAAGTTGAATTATTTCAAAAAAATTCAGATAAACAATAATATACTATTATGAGTTAAGTTTAATATAATTTTATTTTCAAGCCAATATCTAGTTCATTCTACCATATCTCAATTCAACTTCCTGACATACACTTAGAATATCATTATGAATGATTTAACTTCTTATAAATTTCCATGAAAGGTATGTGGTGAAGAAAGACCTCGTCAACTTGAACAAACACTATTTGAGCTTTGGCAGACAATCTAAAAAATACCTATTTCTGTCCTTCCTCTCAGAAACTTCCTATTTACATACTTTTATGGGTGATTTGTTACCCCTTCCAAAAATTAAAGCCCATTCTTACTTTTCTGACACTCCTAAGTACACGATGTCATAGTACAGTCAGTGGTTAGCAGATGTTCTCACTTACAAGTGTGAGCTAAATTTAAGGGGGAACACATAGCCACAGAGATGGAAAGAATGGACACTGGGGGCTCCCAAAGCAGGGAGGATGGAACAGGGGTGAGAGCTGAAAAATGACTTATTGGATAAAATGTTCACTATTTAGGTGATGGGTACACTAGAAACCCAATATCCACTGTTACACAATATACTGTTGAAAAAAACATGCACATGTACCCCCTGGATCTAAAATAAAATTTTTAAAAAATCAAAAAATAGGATACATGGAACAACCAATACACAAACTTGCTCTAACACTCTCCCCTGCCCCATCTCTCTCCTGAGCCTCCCCTCACTCGCTAAGCTTCAGTCTCACTGGAATTCTTTCCTTCCTCAGATTCACCAACCCCCATTCTGCCCCCAATCATGCTGTTTTCTCTGCATGAAACATATCATTAAGTGACTTTAGAATATCAGAAGTACATGCAGTAAACATAGTTAACTCATATTAACTAATAAGCTAAACATACAGTTTGATATGATAATAGTCGGTAAGCAAATGTTATACAGGAAGGAGAAAGAATAATGGCAGAACAAAAGAGAGAGAAAGGAAACCTAAGAGGTTTTCCTTTCAAAACAAGACTTAAAAAAAAATATTAACACATCACGAATTTGCGTATCATCCTTGAGCAGGGAACACGCTAATCTTCTCCGCATTGTTCTAATCTTTAGTACACGTGCTGCTAAAGCAAGCACTCAAAACAAGATTTTTAAAAAGATGTTAAACCTCATCTAATATTGCCAGATAGACGTATGTGACAAATTCAAGATCCTTTAAAATAATTCAGAATTCTATCAGGCAGGAAAGAGACTGAACAAATAGAACTTAGAGGGGACAAGAGCACATTATTTCAGAATTTCATCTATTTAAATCAGATGATAAAAGGTAGAAGGCTTTTTAAAAATATATGTATGAGTAAAACTGTAACTCTTACACCTAGACAACGCTAACTATAACTAAGACCAAATGATGTGCACGAAGGAGTTAGGGACAGGTATCCTATGGATATTTTTTGTCTAAATCCAGCATGTCCAGCTGTGGGTGAGTAGAAACATCTGCGTGTTGTATGAACACCTCCACTCCCATGTCCCAATCTCAGATTTCTGATCAATAAGTAAACAGTCTTGTGTTCTTGAATTTTTGATCTAGAAACCCCATTAGGTCTGAGAAGGTTAATCTGATTCCCTTAGTAAGCCACTTTCTCATTGTGAGCGGATTAAGGATTCTGTGTAGAAATACTGAGATAAATGAAACTCATACTTCTGTACAGTTGAGAACAATCAATATGTTTGGTGTTTAAAATATCTATTATTTTGAGATAATCTGGCATCTTAGATTTTTGTCTCTGACTTTAAAGGGCATAATTTTAAACTTGTTATTTGAAGTTGAAGAGAATTTGACTTGTTTTTAAAATGGTATTTGTACGGTTACAAGAACTTGATTTTCACATTTATAAGGTTAGCTTATTAGATTTCCAGGATCATTAAAGACTTACACAGGGCTTATTATAATTTCAAATTTGCCCTGTCAGGCATGTGTTGAAAGAAAACTGAATTTATTCAGTTATTAATGCAAATTAAGTTTTCAAAAATTTAATTAACTGAGCTTATAAATAGGACTGATTGTTCAATGATATTTAGTATCTTGAGTTTGAATTAAAGTGATTATTCTTACTTCTTTAGATTTATATATAGTATATCAAATTGTATAAGTTGAATTTGAGGGCTTTCTGAAAACTAGGTTTCTACATTGTAACATTGATCATTTGGGTATTCATTTAAAGCTAAAGTAGCCATAAATCTTTCTATACCCAGAGGTTCCCCTGAAATATCAGAACTCCACATTGACACAGCATTCCTTCCACTATACCCCACCCTCCTCCCAACACACACTCCCTCTACCACCTTTAGACCTCAAGTCACTTCCTCAGAAAGCTCTTCCCCAACATCCCTCATCTAAATTATATCCCCTGCCCTGTTTTCTCCCACAGTGTCCAATACTGTTCCTTCAAAATACTACAATTTATTTTTTTTTCTCAACTTTTATTTTAAGTTCCAGGATACATGTGCAGGATGTGCAGGTTTGTTACGTAGGCAGATGTGTGCCATAGTGGCTTCCTGCACAGACCGTCGCATTGCCTAGGTATTAAGCCCAGTGTCCATTAGCTATTCTTCCTGATGCTCTCCCTCCCCTTGCCACCCCCACCTCACCCCCCCGCCCCAGGCTCCAGTGTGTCATAACACTACAATTTAAAATTGTACATTTATTTGTGGACTTGTTTAATGTCAGTTTTTCCCCAAGAAACTATAAGTTCCATCTGTATATTTTATGTTGTAATATCTGGCACATCAGAAGTGTACAATAAATACAGATGGAACAAACAAGATGATGTGAGGACTGAAGTAACAAAGGAATGTTGAACACCAGTAATACTAGGCAAGGTGGACCAAACTGTAAATGTTTTTCCAGGTAGTTTTATGGTTTATGAAATAATAAGAATCACTAGAATGTATAAATGGTTTATTATTAGTAGATACTATAGGTATTATTGTCTCTGCTTTTCAGATCACTCAGAGGTTGAGAGACATTAGGTAACTCCACCCAGAACCAAAGCACTAGTCAGTCCTGATGCCAGGATTTGAACCCAGGTTGCTCCCATTTCTGTACCCATGCTCTATCTAGTACTTCAACCTAGGGCAGTAACTTTTGTACAATCATTAGAACAGTGCTTGGCATATACTAAGTGATCAATAAATTTCAGTGATCAATAATGATAACTATTTTATCTACATTTTGATAAACCTGTTTTTAGAAACAGCAATAAAATGAAAAATGAGTTTTCTCATAATTAGAGTCATTTAAAAAAGGATGATTTTTAAAAAAAAAACACATAGGTAAATCAAGGCCCAAGAAAATGAGGTAGCAGTTGTAACCCCAAAGTAGTTTAATTGAGATGATTCAACATCCACAGTATAAACAGGTTGTTATGGCCAGAGTCTAGGCCTTGTCTAGACAGGAGAATCAATGAGTAAATGAATAATGAAAGGGTGGAAAGTATCATTCCTGGGCAGTGAGTGTCCATTCGCTAACCACCCAGCTACCTTCACAAATGTCTCCTTTAATTGCCTGGAAAATTCAAATGATATGAAAAAAAGTTTTATTTTTCTAAGCAAGATATCTTCATATAATATCTGTAAATACATAAAATATCTCCTCTGACCTGGCCTTGCAAGAGGCCTGTTTTTATTGGTCAGCTTCAGCTCGGGGTAGTGGTGAGACCCCATGAGCACATGCTCTTGAGTAGATAGCTGCAGAGCTGTTTTGTTTTTTTTTTTAAAAAAAATAGAGATAGGGTCTCACTGTGTTACCCAGGATGGCCTTGAACTCCTGAGCTCAAGCAATTCTCCCACCTCAGCCTCCCAAAGTGCTAAGATTACAGGTGTAAGCCACCATGCCTGGCTTCCTTTTTTTTTTTTAATTTTTAAAAATTTTCATGCTACGAAACCATTCAGGACATAGGCATGGGCAAAGACTTCATGACTAAAACGCCAAAAGCAATGGCAACAAAAGCCGAAACTGACAAATGGGATCTAATTAAGCTAACGAGCTTCTGTGCAGCAAAATAGACTATCATCAGAATGAACAAGCAACATGCAGAATGGGAGAAAATTTTTGCAATCTATCTATCTGACAAAGGGCTAATATCCAGAATGTACAAAGAACTTAAACAAATCTACAAGAAAAAGACAACCCCATCAAAAAGTGGGCAAAGGATATCAACAGACCCTTCTCAAAAGAAGACATTTATGCAGCCAACAAACATGAAAAAGTGCTCATCATCACTGGTCACTAGAGAAATGCAAATCAAAACCACAATGAGATACCATCTCATGCCAGTTAAAATGGCAGTCATTAAAAAGTCAGGAAACAACAGATACTGGAGAGGATGTGGAGAAATAGGAATGCTTTTACACTGTTGGTGGGAGTGTAAATTAGTTCAATTATTGTGGAAGATAGTGTGAAGATTCCTCAAGGATCTAGAACTACAAATACCATTTGACTCATGAATGCCATTACTGGGTATATACCCAAAGGATTATAAATCATTCTACTCTAAAGATACATGCACATGAATGTTTATTATGGCACTGTTCACAATAGCAAAGACTTAGAATCAACCCAAATGCCCATCAATGATAGACAGGATAAAGAAAATGTGTCACATATACACCATGGAATACTATGCAAACATTAAAAAGAACGCATTCATGCCCTTTTCAGGGACATAGATGAAGCTGGAAACCATCATTCTCAGCAAATAACACAAGAACAGAAAACCAAACACTGCATATTCTCACTCATAAGTGGGAGTTGAATAATGAGAACATATGGGCACAGAGAGGGGAACATCACATACCACGGCCTGTCGGGGGTTGGGGGGCTATGGGAAGGATAACATCAGGAGAAATACCTAATGTAGATGATGGGTTGATGGACGCAGCAAACCACCATGGCACGTGTAAACCTGTGTAACAAACCTGCACTTCTGCATATGTACCCCAGAACTTAAAATATTTTTAAAATTTCAAAAAAAATAAAAGCAATAAAAATTAAAATTAAAAAATTGCCATGCTAATCTTCTCTGTATCGTTCCAATTTTAGTATATGTTCCACCGAAATGAGCACTTTGGAACTGTTTTATAAGGAAGGTGGGTTCAGTCACCTGAGGACTTTGTTTTACTGGAGATTAGAATCTTGGGAAGAGCTAAATGGCTTCAATAGAGACATGAAGCTGGATGAACGTGGAAAAAGAGAGAAGAGCTCCTATGATGGAGATGAGGAGGGTGACTGGAGAGAGAACAGAAATAGCTAATGGAGAAATCTAATAGAGTAATGTAGATGTGTCATGTGTCCTGAAGTCATCTCCTTCTCTCCTCCAATAAAGTCTACATTATTCACCAAAGCTTTTGAAATTGAATTTGTTTTAGGAGAGATGTACTGAGCTAGATCTCCAGGTGGGCTTTATTAGGTAGTAGCAAGACCAACTAAGGAGTTTCTCTCATTCAGCTTTATTAACTGCCTGGTTCTCAGAAAAGCACTTGTCTTAATCCTCAATGCATATTACCTACTGCCACCTGGTGGAAGCATATGCTAATTGCAAGATAAGTGCCCAATCGGGATGGAGGTGGGGGAAGATCCTCAAACTAAAAATCTAAATTTATTTTTTTAAAAAATGACTAGTCTCAGTTCTGCTGCTCTCTACCTGTAAAGTCTTCTGTCAATCTTCTCATCTGCAAAATGAGGGGCTAAAAAAGTGATTGCTAAGATTTCCTCCATCTTCCAAATCTATAACTGTAACAAAAATAGATTTCAAGCAGATCTCTAGTGAATATGCCAAAGGGTTCTTCCAAACTACAGCATTAGCCTAGTTCATATCTTCAGCTATTGCTAAAACATATGAAAACATGAGCCAAATGCAGTAATTCATCTGTATAGTTAAGTCCAATTTACTACTCACTGCAAATTTAATGTCGTTTTTTAAACTAAACTTTACAGTAGGATATATAGTAAAACAAGTGCCAGATGAGTATTTGGTTTCAGTCTGCCACTGCTAAAACAGAAAAAGTGGCTATACAAAACAGAACAAAAATAAGTTTAAGAAAAAGAAGTTTCTGAATCAACCATGATAAGGATCAAAGGCCTCTTTATTATTAATGCTCTTTATTATTAATGCTGACAAATGTGTTACTTTCTTTTCCTTTTACAGACTAAAAACAGTATCTATACTTACAAGCTGCCAAAATGTCCCTGATATACATAGGTTAACCATAGGCCATATTTTGGGGAAGACTTACTCATATATTTCTAAATTAGTTATTTTGTTTTCAGTCACATAGTTGCTTGGGATTAAGCCTTCATTCCTGTAAAGAAAAAGCAAAAATAAAAATGCTTGGCATGTTTGTGGCATTAACACCGCCACAATCCTTTTAAAACTGTATGGATCTAAGGGGAATCAAATTCATTTTACTGATTAAATTGCTAAAAAGAGAAAAAAAGTCTTTTTCATTTCTAACTCAAGAAAAATCTCTGTACAAGAAATGTATTAAGATCCCGACTTGCAGTGTGAATACTTTAAGAGTTTTTATGATCCCACAATCTTTTTAGAGAGAAAAGAGGGCACTTAAATGATCATCTGATGTCATAGTGACTAGGTTAAAAACACAGCAATCACAAAGATACTGGCTTCATTCTTTTCAGTTGCTGAAGAGTATTCCATAGTGTAGGTATTCTAGTTTAACCACTTCCCTAGTAGGATCCATGCCATAAAGAAATCCTTGAACATGCCTTTTTGTACAAAAGTAAGAATGTTTCTCAAAGATGGATAGCAAGGAGGGGAATTGCTAAGTCACGGGATATGTGCATCTTTCAGGATATGCAATAAATTTCCATCCAAGTAGGATACACCAACTTACACACCTATCAGCATGGTAGACGTTTCACTTTCCCTATACCTTGACCAACATTTGAAATTACAAAAAGATCTCGAAGACATATTTTTGAGAAATAAAAGTTGCAGAATCATGCATAAAGTATGATAAGATTAGGTAAATTAATTCTACAAACAATACCATATATTTTGATATGTAAATGTAAGCACACTGAAAATAATCTGAAAATATACTAAATGCATAACGATATTTACTTTTGGGGAAACACTTGAGTTTGAAGGTAGTGGCAAAGCAGAATTTTGACATTAATGTTTGTATATTATATTTTTCTAAAGACTCTATTCACTTACTAACCATGAAATCAAAAATTCAACTTTTTAAGTCTGAGACATGCCAATACCCACCGGCAGGTGTGGCTAATTACACAGCCTGAACCTACTAATGCCTCTTTGTCCATTGAAAAGTCTCCATCACATGTTGAGAACTGTTAAGAGGGCCACATCATTGAGAAAATGTAGTTGAAGAAAGAGTAATTTACATGCTTATAATACTTGGATACTTATAATCTCTAAATCTTGGCAAATATCAGAAATCAATGCCAGCCTTCTCTCTCAGCAAGTCCAGATATTCCTTGAAATTCCTCTCAACTCAGGACTCTAATCAGGCATTAACCGTCTGTTGCAACTGACACAATGAAACCTATCTGCATCCCAGCGTCTTTTTTCTTTCTAATCTCATTCAGCAGGGACTGCAATGTTTGCTTCCAAAACTAGGTATTGTAAAAACATAAACGTGAATAAGATACTATTTCTATTCTTACCTTAGAGCTTAACAGGAAAAAAAATTCCCAAATAAAAGTACAAATCAGAATAAGAAACTACATTGTCAGAATTATTTCCCTTGTACAAATAAAAAAAACAAAAACTCAGAGAGGGTAAGTGACTTGCCCAGGGACACACAATAGTAAGTGACATCATCAGGATGTGAAGCCAGGTGTAGCTGGTTCTGAGACTCTGCCTGAAATCACTGTTCTCTCATTCTCTCACATACCTTGCGGGAGAGGGGACAGGTTCCATTTCATGCAGAGGGAAGAGTTATAAGCCTGAGTCACTAAATAGTCTTCTTTGTGTTGGAGGAACTGGATACTGACTAAGTCATGTAAATGTCTTACCCCAAACGGTCTCTTGCCTTCCACCAGTGAGGATTATATTTCTCCAGTATCAGGTATTCTTCTGATCTCCTTAAGGCTAAATTACAGGGTTCTCTGGGCAGAAAATCATAAAGTGCCTTGACTTGAATTTGGTCTTCAGCAAACTCAGAGGGTGGGAGAGGAGGCAGTGGCTTTCGCTTCGACGGTTGCACACGGCCCCTGTTGGACTGTGAAAACCAAGAAGTGAGTTGTTTTACTATCATTTTAATAATCTGTACTAAAAATAAGGATAAAGCATCTTGCCTTCTGCCTCACTTTCCTTATCCAGCTATACCAAGGCAGAAGCCAGGATGGGATAAATGTAGGAAAGGACTAACTATAAAACTCCCTTTGGACCCAGCAGCACACTCATCATTTTTACATTCGTGGGATCACAAGTTCTCTTGCCATCATTGTACTGGATTTTTTTCATATCAAAATTCTCAAAAGATGATGTACTCTTCTTCAATAGTCTCACCTTGTTTTAAGAATATTTTCTCTCTTGGAAGAAAAAAATGGCCTTTTTCTTTTCATGTGGTGGCAGCTTGTGCTTGGGTTTACTATACTTCCTAAGAATGCTTTCACTTCCCGGAAATGAAAATTAATCTCAGCCTCAAAATGACAGGAGCCAAAATATGTTATTCCCCTACTCATTTCCCATTAGCAAGTTCTGTCTTTAAATATAAGTAGCCAATTTTAACTGGTCTTTTTTTCCCTTTGACTTTCTTCTAGAACATTCCTTCACAAATTATTGAGCACTTATTTTGGGCCAAGCCTGATCCTAGATTCTGGGCAACAAACAGCACCTCATGAATGAATATTCTAAAAAGAAAACCTTCTCCATTCCCCTCTTGTCTGCCAAAATGATACTCACTCGCTTCTCATTTGGCAGTTGGCTGAGCCACGGCCTGCGTCGCTGGGTGTATTTTTCTGGAAGCTCTTCATCTGTGCTCAAGCTTATCTGTGTTCTCACTTGTCTGACATTGAAAAGCAATCATGTTACAAATAATTATTTGTACAAAAGATATCTATAGATCCACTAGATTTTCACAGAAAGAGTAGAAAAATCCAGGTCTCTTTCCAACTGCTTTTTCATTTAGAAGGCTTCCTAATTCCATCTCCCTGGGCAAATTACTAGTTTTAAGAACTTAAATTTTCTTACACAGAAACTAGAGATGCTAAGAATGTCGAGTTGTTATAAAATAAAATTGCGAAAACATGTCACATTCCCAGTAGTCTGGTGCATCTTTGGGGCATAAATTATAATCATGGTAATGAAAACTTACTCTGTATCTGGCTCAGTGCTTCTCCTTTTATATGCTTTACCTCATTTGTGCTGCCTTTTTGTTATAAATAGACATGGTATAGTGATTAGGAACATGAGTTTGAATTCCAGCTCCACCATTTCATAGAGTGGCCTTGGGTAAGCAATGTAACCTCTCTAAGCCTCAATTTCCTCATCTGTAAAATGGGGATTGTAAAAAAAAAAAAAAAAAAAGGAAGGTGTTTTGAGAACTACATGAGTTAACAAAAATAAATCTTTTAGCATAGTATCTGATATACAGGACACTCCTGTTAAATGTTAGCTTTTTCTGTTAACATGCTGCCTTGGATGTAATTCTTACAGAGTCATTTATTGCCATCAAAGTATAAGATACACTGATCGTTTTGGGAAGACAGATAACTAAGATAGGATTCTTGCTCTTAAAGGGCAAAAATTACCTATTGGAGCACAGACCTAAAAACAACACACACGAGATAAGAATTAAGTGGAGAACCATGCCGCACACTGTGGGAACACAATGGAATGAACCGCTAAGTCTAAGGATCAGGAAAGGATCCCAGATGACCTGACATTTGATCTAGACCTTTAAACAAATAGGCACTCAACAGGGAGAAAATGGGAGAAGGGTTCCCAGGTAGAGAGAATAGCAGGTGCAAAGAGACATGGTGACTCCATAGGTAATAAAGAAACTGAATTAAATAATTTTCAAAAAATTGCCCTCAGAAGTAGACTTACCGCTTCTGCACTGAACAGCAACAGCAGCAACAGAAAACCGACTGGATGGTGTTATCTGAAAAGCAGATCATTCTTAGCTGTTAGAAAGCCATGAGTATGTGATATTGAGGGTGTCTCTAAGAGGAGGGAGATATGAATTGTTATAAAGCGTAAAAGGATAAAGTCTCTATCACGCTTTCCTTCACTATAACTGTCAAATAACTGTCACTAAAGCAAAAAATAAGTTCCTGGCACGTTGGCTAGTGTGGTTTCCCTTCTCAGGCTCTTCTCCTCTGGTCTGGTTTTTGCATTTCCTCAGTCTGTGAGTGATAAATGACCAGTGTATTCTCTTTTACCTTTGTCAGGATGAATGTTGGCTAATAAATGTACAAGAGAATATGATTCCAAAAGCAATGCTCCCCTAGGAAATCTGTTAGCAAGGATTTTGAATTAGATCTGTCAATTTTTTAAATTAAATTGTTTAACGCATAGGCTTTTTAAAAAAATTCCATCAACATTTCAGTGGAATTTTATTATTCTTTTTTTATTGATTGTAATTTTAAAATGGTTCTAAACCTTAGCTGCATGTTAGAATTATCTGAGGAGCTTTAAAAATATCCTGGAGCACAGGTCTTACCCCGCATACCTCAGACCAATAAAATTAGACTATCTGGGGAGGAATCTAGGTATTGTTTTTTGTTTTTGTTTCTTAACTTTAAGTTCTGGGATACATGTGCAGAATGTGCAGGTTTGTTACATAGATAATATACATGTGCCATGGTGGTTTGCTGCATCCATCAACCCGTCTATCTAGGTTTTAAGCCCCACATGCATTAGGTATTCATCCTAATGCTCTCCCTTCCCTTTCCCCCAATCCCCTGACAGTCCCCAGTATGTGATGTTCCCCTCCCTGTGTCCATGTGTTCGCATTGTTCAACTCCTACTTATGAGTGAGAACATGTGGTGTTTGGTTTTCTGTTCCTCTGTTAGTTTGCTGAGAATGATGGCTTCCAGCTTTATTCATATCCCAGCAAAGGACATGAACTCATTTGTTTTTATGGCTGCATAGTATTCCATAAAACATAGGCTCTTAATATGAATTAAGTTTAAAGATAATATCTGAAGGAAGAACTAGGTAGTAAGTCTGGGTTATGCCTACACTTTCATTGTCAAGTTTCATCTTTATTTAAGTAAGATGATTTTCCTTTTTAAAGTCCATAAATAGGCTGAGAGTGGTGGCTCATGCCTCTAATCCCAGTACCTTGGGATTCTGAGGCAGGTAGATCGCTTGAGCCCAGGAGTTCGAGATCAGCCTGGGCAACATGGCAGAACCCCAACTCTACCCCAAAAAATTTTTTTAAAAAAATTAGCCAGGCATGGTGGTGCATGCCTGTAGTCTCCAATACTCAGAAGGCTGAGGTGGGAGGATCCCTCAAACCTGGGAGATGGAGGCTGCAGAGAGTTGAGACCCTGTCTTCAAAAAAATAGAGTGAATTAAATTTAAAATTAAAGACCAAAAATAAATTTTGAATTTCAAAAGGATATTTTATTTTCATAGAACCTGCACTTCCGTATCAGTTCATACTCATATTGACATCTGAAACTAAAGTATTCAGGAGGCAGCAGACTACCTTAGAGGTGAGCATTCACTTTGAAGGGAGACAGAACCTGGGGTTAGCCCTAGCCGCCCGGCTGACTACATCTTGATAAGTCCCTTTACTTCTCTAAATCCTAGTTTTCCCAACTGTAAAAATGAGGTAAATAGTATGTACTCCCTTTGAGAAGCCCTATAAGGCAGAGATTAATGTCTAACTTCATGACTTTGAGTATACTGTTAAATGTTCTGTGCTTCAGTTTCCTCGTCTGTAAAATGGGAATAATAGGATGTTTAAGTAAGGCAATGGTGAGGATTATTTGAACTGATTCACGTAAAACACCTAGGACAACACCAGGTATACATTAAGAGGGTAATCAAGAAGACTGGCTGTAATAGGATCGTGGTGAAGAACCAATTAGCTAACATCTTTTAAAGTCCCTGGAACATAGAGGGATGAGTCAGGATCCCAACAAGAATCAGAAGGCACACTCAAATAGGAATATGTTGAGAAGGATTTATTTATAAAAGGAAGTAATTATAGAGATATAGGCAGAGTGCAGTAAAACTACAAGGATAGGGCAGGAATCCAGAGCCGAACTGTCACCACACCTAACAAAGTGAGGAGGGAAGGGAAGGTTACCAGAACCCAGGAAGAGAGGGTTTATCTGTGGCACAGGTCACCTGGAAAAGAGCACTTGTCACCCCTCCAAGGATACAGATGGACCAAGGAGACTTCATAGGCAGAAAATCAAGAGGATAAATATCCTTACTTTCCTCTGCTTTCCCCCTCCTTGCTGAGCTCTTCATTGGCCTACCCCCGCAAGAAGCCAGATAGTTATATGTAAACCACACAGGAGCCGAGAGCAGGCTGGTGAAATGCAGAGAGTGGACCAGCAGGAAGAGGAGCAGACACGACACATCCAGCCCAGTCCACCCCTCGGCATCCATTTATTCTTTCTTTTTTTCTTTTAGACATAGTCTCACTGCACTGGCCAGGCTGGAGTGCAGTGATGCTATCTTAGCTCACTGCAACCTCCTCCACCTCCCAGGTTCAAGTGATTCTCCTGCCTCAGGCCTCCTGAGTAGCTGGGATTACAGGCACATGCCACTTTGCCCAGCTAATTTTTTGTAGTTTTTAGTAAAGAAGGCATTTCTCCATGTTGTCCAGGCTGGTCTTCAACTCCTGACCTCAAGTGATCCACCCACCTTGGCCTCCCAAAGTGCTGGGATTACAGGCATGAATCACCACACCTGACCCATCCTAATGTGGAAATCATATATGCCCTCTTCCATCATCCATTCCATGTTCCCCTTTGCCACTGCCAGCACCTTGGCTGAAGATGGTGCCCAAATATTCATTCCTGTAGGATTTGGGTCTTTGTTAAGTCTTGTCTTTGTGGGGTTGCTACAGTTTTCCATTGACCAAGACCATTAAGAATATTAAGAAACACCAGGCGCGGTGGCTCACACCTGTAATCCCAGCACTTTGGGAGGCCAAGGCGGGTGGATCATGAGGTCAAGAGATCGAGACCATCCTGGTCAACATGGTGAAACCCCGTCTCTACTAAAAATACAAAAAATTAGCTGGGCATGGTGGCACGTGCCTGTAATCCCAGCTACTCAGGAGGCCGAGGCAGGAGAATTGCCTGAACCCAAGAGGCGGAGGTTGTGGTGAGCCGAGATCGCGCCATTGCACTCCAGCCTGGGTAACAAGAGCGAAACTCCGTCTCAAAAAAAAAAAAAAAAAGAATATTAAGAAATGAAGCTAATGCATTCCCTAATTTTTAAACAAAGTCCTCTTTGTCTTAATAGTGATGTACCCACCCAATTATCCCCTGTTAATCAGGATGATCACCCCAGCTACACTGACCCCCTTCAGGGCCTATAAATTCAGGAGTACAGGGAATCCCACAGTGGCTGGCGGGCAGTTCAACTTTCAATATTTCCTAATACAAGGATTCTTCTCTTGGCAGTGGGATCTCCAAAACAAAAACCAAGGTCATAGGGAAAGAAAACAATAATACCCAGTTGATTATTAGACAAAATGGTGAGAGAGGCTGCTCCAGTCTTCACTGCTTCATTTCCAGATTCATGTGTCCTGGCTATGGAAAGACAAAAGCATATCTGCTGATGGTTTAAGACATTGATTGCATCCTACAGGACCCTACCTGAACTTTGCAAGATGTCTTCCAGATGTGATAGTAATTGAGCCTTTAAAAGGCCATTCTGCTGTTCTATCGAGTCAGCTGCTTTGGAGTTATGGGACACATGGTAAGGTATTCAGGGGACCATTGAACAAGCACGAGTGAAACTAAGAAAAAGCTAACTCCCTCCACGACATGGGTCGTCTCGTCAATTTCTGGTTTCATCTTCCTATTCTGTCCCTGTTCGAAGAAATTCAACCACATTCCTTTCCCCACAATCTTTTTGTCACCAATCTCCCAATTTTGTTCCTTCCTAGTTCCCATTGGCAGGCCAATTGCTTTTACCATGAATCAAGGTAGATCAGTGCCTCAAACTATCTTTTTCCCTAATGAAATGAATAAACATATGTGTTTCCTGAAGTTCTGGGAGGCGTTTATTTCAACACTGTCTATCAGGCTACCTCTGAATGAGGCTGTAGTACAATGGCTATTTCCTGTTGGTACACATTTATGATGCAGATCTTCCTGTAAATCAAGCCAGAGATTTTTCTCCCATTAGCTGTTGGAGAACGACCCAGGAGGCCACTGGTGTGAGTTGAAGTAGAAGCAGAAAGAGCAGGTACAACGTGAGTAGATGCTGCATGCTTATGAAGCTTTCTGGAAACTTCTGGATCTGCTAGGGCCCACTTTCAAATATGACGCTTCTAGATTAGGATAGAAAACTAGCACACATGCCCAATTTCATAGTTCATTGAATCAGCTAACACTCAGCTCATGATAGGCAGCTTGGATCACATAAATATTTGATGATCTGTGATTAAGCATTTAATATTTACCAGTAGCAAGTCAGGAGCTACTTTTGAAATGGAAAATAATTATCAGCACAGAGTCAAGGCATTACTCCTTATTCCTCGGGGTTTGTGCTGCAATTTTCTTATTGGGACTTTCCTGAAACTCCATAAAGCCAGCATCTTGCCCTTTCTTTGCCCTCTATCCCAAGCACTACCAATGACAATTTGAGTAATTGATAACTGAGTTATTTCTCCCAGCGAAGGGTATCTCTGGACCTCTAAATATATGACCAAATAAATCCCAGACCCAACTCTGAATCTGCTTCCTAGAGCCACTTCTGATATCAATTACTGTATTAGTCGGGGTTACAAGGGGAAACATGACATGCTTAGACTAACTTTGAAAGGGTTATTTTAAAGGGACTACTTACAAAGGAGTGAATGGGGGTAAGGACACCACAAAAGATACACAGGAACCCAGGTCCAGCAGTGGTGGAACTATCACCACCCCTGGGTTCAAAAGGACCAGGATGGGGAGAGAGAG